AGGTTTCACTTTATGCTGCTGGTATTGAACTACCTGCTCAAGTTCTTGCTTCTTGTTTGGTGCTTTTAAATTGCTTGAGCTTCAAAACAATCTAAGCGTAAAGCAGCTTTTAGAGAGGATACAAAGGTGACTCTGAAAAGGTAGGGCTTTATCCTGTGATAGCTCTTTCGGTTGCTCAGAGGCTGGCTTTTAATTCCTTCTTGTTTCTCTGTAATATCATAATAGGTAACATTTATTTGGTAGCTGTGTTCTTGACAACTGAATGTATTCCTCCACAGTACGCAGCTTTCTGTATAGTTTAATGCAACTTTTTAAAGCGTGTCTTAGAATTTACTTTGTCACTGGTAGGGAGGCTTTCAGTTACTTAAACAACCACCAAACTGTTTCCCATGGTTTAGTAGAGGGACATCATGAAATCAGACAAAGGCATGACTGTGCTAGATATTTTGTTATACCTGATCAATTCTGAAATAAATATCCTTCCCCTTTATTCACTGATTTGGCAAAAGCAGGGCTCCCAGGAAGTGCATGCTGTGATCTCCAAATTTCTCTCCCTCATTCTTGGTCAAGTTGGTAAGAATATAAGGAAGGGAGACTGGTTAACTAAATCCCAGAGATCATCAATCAGAAAAGTAAGGTAACATGACTTACTGCTTACCAGACCCACGTCTTCTCAGGTGTTCGGGAGGAGACGGGGTAATGCTGAGCTGGGCTCAGAGGACAGAATTTGGAATCAATGGTCAAAGAGGGCTTTCCTGGAGTCTTAGTTAATAGGCACGCGGAGAGACTATCTCTATGTCTGAAGATGTCCAAACAAACCGCAAGGCGAGTGTTAACATTTGTGATAAAAAAAAAGACTGGGAACTTTTATTACGTTCTCCAGAAAGTCAGATGGTCCTCCCCATAGATCTTACTGTTTACTTAATCTGACAAGGTCAACATGTCATGGGAGCTACATCTTGTATGTTCTCTTGACACGGATGGCATTTGATAACACAACAGGGAACTAACCATCAGGAGTGGACGAGAGAGGCATGATCTCCACCCTGCATTAGACCTTTTAGAAACCAGGGTCCTTTTGCAGCCAATGCTTGCCCTCGACTCATTCTTAGCAAAGGGCCATACTGAGCTCTCCTTTCTAGAGCTGTGCTGACCAATATGGTGGCTGTCTGACATCTAGGTTTGTCAAATGAAATAAAGTTAAAAATTCAGTTCTCAGGAGTACTCATCAGACTCGTGTCCCATAGCCACACATGTGTAGAGGCTACTGCACGGGACAGCCCAGACACAGCATCTCCATCCCTGCAGGAAGCCGCGTTGGTAGTGCTGTCTAGAGTCCTGCCTCAGGGCTGTTCCCCTGTGCACAGGGCCTCCTCAGGAGCTCCAGGAGCTGTGGCTCTATCTCCAGCACGACTTAAATCAGTGCAAGCCCTGTGGCCTGACCTCAGGACTTACAACACTGCCCTTCCATCTCTCACGCCTTCTCTGAAACAGGATCCTGAGCGAGCTCCAGGACTTCATACCATCAAACTTCTTGTATCTTGAGATTCCCTATTGGCATTTTGGAAACGTATTTCTATTACGTAGGTTATGTAACTAGTTACTAATGTGTTACTAACATGTGGTTTAGTATGTTGTAGAAAAGATATTTAAATTCAGTAGGGAGCTGGACAAAATGAGTCGTGAGGCTTTAAGGCCCCATGGTTCTACTTATTTCAACAAAACAGAGGGAACCAATTGATGTTCTCCCCTATAGGCTGCCAAGAGCTGTATTCTATTGAGTATTTTTATTATCTATCTAACCATCTACCAACCTCCCTACCTATCTTTTATCCATTGTTTTGGATGAGATGATGGGACAGTTGGGAGAAAATATTTAGGTTGAACGCAAACTTCAGTGGAATTTGAAATTTAAGGCCCTCAAGGTAGAACAGTTAGTTAGCCTCAGATGAATTCTAATGTCAGGAACCCTCACAGTTTCAATGAGGAAAGGCTACTTTTATTTCCTCAAAGCCTGGTTATCATTCTGACTGAGTACAAAGATGCTGCCCGTTAGGCCTCTAAGGAGAACACTGGGGAGTACTTTTTTCCACTAGGAATTTTGGACAATTGTGGAGAGATAAGGGTGAGGGAGAAAGAAGTCTGACAGCAGCCTACTTGGAAAATTTAACAGGTAACCATTTACTAGGCGAGATTTTCCAAGCAGCTTTGATTCTCTTGTTGGGAAGCCCTATTGTTGGGTATCTAAGGCCTTCAGTGTGCTCCGCGGAAACCCTCCACCAACCTACTTGTTGTGAAAATCGTAGATCTCCTGGATGTTGCCAAAGATGATATGCTCTTTATTGAGGATCCCAGGGGGGATCTCCTCCACGCCGCTGGTCATTTCCCACAGGTAGGTCTGCAAGACAGCAACAGTGCATCACCGGCAAGAACTGCCACATGAAATACGGACGACAGAAACAGGCCTTCACACTGCGATGTGAGACTCAGCTGGCAACGCATGCAGAGTGGAAACAGTGAGACGGTTAATAAGCAGGATGGAAAGGAAGAAAACCGGAGGTGCGTTACTGTGAGCTGTTGCTAGGGAAACACACCCCGACCTTCATCAAGAGCACAGACTCCACACTATTCTTATTTATTAAACGTGTGCATGTCCGAGTGTTTGTTGAGGGGAGGATGCAGATTTTCAGACTCAAGTTCACTGATGGTGTCATGGTTTTTATTTTGAACTCAAGGGTCTTATAAGCTTTTCTGCCGGGTCTAGCTCAAGTCTGAGAAAAGTTTGTTTTCAAAAGCAGTTGAACCTGCCATACAATTACTATGCCTCAGGTAGAAGGACTTTATCCACTGGTGTTTCTTTTGTGAAGTTCCGGGAGCAGACAAAGAGCTTTCTCCCCTCAAGGACCTACCACAAGTTTGTCAATTTTCTGATACAACTCTAGGCTGACCATTGCAGTACTCACCTCTAAGCACTCGTGTAAGTCCCTTACATAAGCCTTCTCTGTCTGGAGCAGCTCGGCCATGATGAATCTAGAAGGGAACACATGGGCGTTTAGAGACATAATACCTCCCTTCCTAAAAATGTCACTTCCCTATCCCAGCATATTTGAGCTGAGTATCCTATTTTTCTCCTTTACCAAAATATATCTCTTCCTTTCTTCAAAACTCCTCACCTCTGAGCATCATCTGAGTCCCTCTCACTCTGCTCATTTACTCTGTATCCCATTCCTTTGGAAGGTTTGTGCGTTACATTCTCTCTCCCCTTTCCCTCCCAGTTCTTCCATTTAGTGATTCTGTGCTGAGATGTATGTGTGTTCAATTGCACTTGTGTTTGCATGTGTGCAGAATCATGTGGCACACTTCATATTCATTCTAATCAATTACATAGCTTCAAGCTCAGCTTCCTAAATTTTCCTTAGAGGCCCCAGATGATTATATCTGTTTAGTGCAGTTGTTGACTTACACTAGAACAATTCACAGTACTGTAAGTTAAACCAGATTTATAAGCTGAAAATAAACAAATGCTAAGACACTACCACTGAGACTGGGAGAGGGGAGGTGTTAAGGAAAATTTTATCTGTAAAAGCCAGATATTATATTTGTTGGCCATTCAGGCTCCGCTACAACCACTCATTTTGCTACTGTATTGTAAAAGGAGCCACAAGTAAGCATGGCTGTATCCTAATAAAACTTTATGGAGACAAAAGAATTTCATTTAATTTTGACACCATTAATATTCTTCTTTTCATATTTTTCAATCATTTAAAAACTAGAGGCCCAGTGCATTTTTATTTTAGATTTTCAATGTTAGATGGACTGGACACTCTCTGGAGCCAACCTCCTACAATCCCTCCTTGCCTGCCGCACTGGGGTGGCGCTGAGGCTTGAATGGCATCTGTGGAGCAGATGGGGTCCCTCATCTTGGCCTTGGAGATTGGGCCAAAACTGGCAGCCTGACATTCCCTGAGGGGTCCCAGAGTGCAAAAGGGCACTCTGCAAAGTTTTTGTTACTCAGCAGCTCTGGCATTGAGCATCTGCCCCCTGGTGGTCAGTGTGCATCACAGTTACTGGCCAGTCAGCCAGTCAACTGGTCACTTAGCCTTTTATATACATAGATACAAAAAAGCTCTTTAGTTTACAGATTATATAAAATAGATGGTTATAAACCAATGCCACCCAAATAGGTTTAATTTTTAAAAAAGCAGGTGGTGGGTCACATTTGGCCTGTGGGCCACAGTTTGCTGACCTCTGGCCTGAATTATCTCATGCACTTCACACTATTTACAATGGGGCTCGTTTGCATCACAGGCTGATGTGCACAAAGTGCAGTGTGTGATCACAAGCCCAGCATGTGTGGACGATGCTAGGGGACTGTTCTTCAGCCTCCCATAAAGAGTAGCAGGTGCTGTGGGCCTGCAGGGAGAGGCTGCCCTTCCACCTTGGGCCCTGATGACCGTGTGGGCGGGCAGCAGATAGGTGTAGGCTATACTGAGCTTCACTGCCAGGTACCCACCTAACTTCCTTCTCTCATGAGTTTTTATTAGAAATGGTGCTTCCCAGCTGGCAAGTGATACATAGTCTATACTAATAATAGAGGAATATGCAAATTGGTTTGGATGCGTCATGTAATGATCAAACAGCAGGCTGCGTGGGGTGACCAGCCCAGCGGGGAGAGGAGGGGAGTTGGGGGCAACCAGGCTGGCAGAGGAGGGGCAGTGAGGGGAGACCATGCTGGCAGTGGGGGGCAGTTGGAGGCAACCAGGCTGGCAGGGGGGCAGTTACGAGTGATCAGGCCAGCAGACAGAGGTGGTTAGGGGTGATAAGACTGTCGGGGGTGGGGGGCAGTTAGGGGTGATCAGGCAGGCAGGCAGGCGAGTGGTTAGGAGCCAGTGGTCCTGGATTGTGAGAGAGATGTCTGATTGCCAGTTTAGGCCCTAAACCGGCAATTAGACATCCCCTGAGGGTCCTGGATTGGAGAGGGTGCAGGCTGGGCTGAGGGGACTGCCCAGCCTGTACCCTCTCCAATCCAATCCCCCTCTCCAACCCTCGCCTTGCACAAATTTTGTGCACCAGGCCTTGTATGTATTCATTTTTATTTTAGATTTTCAATGTTCCAAGTGTTCCATCTTAGGAAAATTCCAAGTGTTCCATCCTAGGAAAATTTTGAGAATGATTATCCCCAAAGTGTCCCCTGTTCAAAATTTCACAAGAAATATTAAAATGAGCAGCATCTTTTCCTGAACCTTTGCTATGGTAGAATTTTCCTTAAAGCAATGCATTGTACTAGTAATGGCCCTTCTATTAATGTTAAAGTCCTGATTTCATAAATTCCCCTTTGCTAGCATTAATTAGTCACTCTTACTATTCTTACTCTTTTGGTAAAGTAGACAGTGCATGAGCTTTGAAGTCAAACAGGAATTGAATTATGACTGTCATTTACTAGAGGGAGCACTTGCTTCTCCAAGCCTCAGACTCCTTACTTATAAAAAAATCTTGATCACACAAGATTGATGCAAGGATTAAACAGGGTTCTCATACATTGTAGGTGCTTAGTACACAAGGAGAGAAATAAATCATAAGGAATATAATCTGACATGCTTGGGAAAGTTATCTTTGATTTTACTACATTGGGTTTCTGTATCTTCTTCCTTTTTCTCTACCTGCTTCCTACAGTTTTGTGTCTTTTCATAATTTACCTCCTCTACCCTCTACCACATTTTGTTTTACTTTCAATGCATCCTTTGCCACACTCTGGTTACTTGGTGTCCCAGAGGGAGTCCAGCAATAAGATTTGACCACTTGTGATCTCATTCTCCTTCCTGTTATGGGTTGAAGCTTGTCCCCCCAAATTTCATATGTTAAAATACCAACTCTCAGTACTTCAAAATGTGACCTTATTTAGAAATGGTCATTGCAGATGTTATTAGTTAAAATGAGGTTAATTGGAATAGGGAGGGCCCCTATTCCAAAGTGACCAGTGTCCTTAAAAAATGGGGAAATCTGGACACATGCATATATTAAAGGAGCACACCATGTGAACATGAAGATGGCAGTTTACAAGGCCAAGAAATATACCTGGAACAGAGCCTTCCCTCTTAGCCCTTAGAAGGAATCAACCCTGTCAACACTGTGATTTCAGACTTCTAGCCTCCAGAACTGTAGACAAAACATTTATATTGTTTAAACCACCCAATTTGTCATACTTTGGTATAGCAGCCCAGACAAACATTCCCCAGATGAAACTCAAGCTCTGACTTCCCTTTAGTGTCGTCAACTCTAAGGGACCTGTGGTCCTACTTCATTTTTATAAATCAACTACCTAGGGCTTCTTAATCTTGGGAAACACTATTTTCCCCCAGCATTACCCAAAAGGAATCTATCAAAATAGCCTTCACAAAGCCCCTGAAAGACCTATGGATATAAATAGCTGTGCAAGGCCCAAATAAAGAGCAGAGTAATCAGGCAATGCTTTGTGAGGTGGACATGATCCATTGTTTCCACTAAGCTAATGCCCTGTCGTTCTTGGTTAGTGTGACATAGGGGTGGAAGCATCATGTATGTCCATTCCTGCATGTGGTCATGAGGACACATGAAGCTGTCAAAAGGGACAGGTGACGATGAAAACCAAGCATAGTCACGAGGAGCCTGCCAGTTGGGTGGAAGCTCCCCCCAAACATACTCTTTCTTCCGGGCAGACTTCCGCTTCTCTTCATTGACTTCATGGTTGGCGTCCCGCAGCTTGACCTCACGATCCGAAAGGCTTGCTGGGATGATGTCCAGCTCCAGGTCCTTGTTATCCTGCACAGAGAGAGCACAGAGGTCACCTCGGAGAGGCTTTGGGAAAGCAACTAAACAGGGCTGGCAAGGGTGGTAGAGGTGAAAATAGAGAAAGATATAATGGAGAAGGATGAGAAGATCAGGACTCCCACACACTGTCACCCACAAGCACTCTTGTTCATGTGACCATTTATTTTCAAATAAGAAAGATATGAGATGTTCAGGTCAAATGTTCAGCGCTAATGTCCACAGCAAGAAAAAAACAATGAATACATTGGATAATTAGTGTCATATTTCTCTAGAGACTTTGGTCCTGATTATTTCTAAACACACACACAAAATGAGTCCAAGATTGATTACTATGCATTAAAATATAGGTGAAGCAGAAACACATAAAGGCATAAGAAAACTTTCATTTGTCAAGGGAAAATAATAAAAGCAAATATTTTTATTTAAACAAGCAAATTTCCCTTGGAAACAAAAAACTATTACTGATTTTTCTACTTGCCCAACCCTGCTTTTTTCAACCAATGTTTGGTATTTATACAGGACGGAAACTTTTAGGAAAAAAAAATTTCATAGGTTAGACATTAATTCTCCCAATTTTTGTGATCTGACCACTTTACTCTCTGGTCTGCTCTGCTTAAGAGCATGAGCTCATTTAAAGATTTAAGAATTAACCCTAGCCAGTTAGGCTCAGTGGATAGAATGTTGGCCTGTGGATCAAAGGGTCCTGAGTTCAATTCTGGTCAAGGACACATACTTGGTTGCAAGTTCTTCCCCAGCCTGGGTCCTGGTCAGAGCTTGTGCAGGAGGCAACCAATCGATGTGTTTCTCTTTGTCTTTCCCTCTCTCAGCCACTCTCCCTAAAAAAATCAAAGGAAAAATATCCTCAGGCGAGGATTAACTAACTAACTAACTAACTAACTAACTAACTAACTAAATAAATAAATAAATAAATAAATAAATAAAGATTTAAGAATTAGAAATCCTAGGACTGAACTGCCAGCCTGTGTTTAATTCTTACCTCCCAGGTCACTGACCCCTACTGTGAAGAAGAGATTAAAAGTCAGTCTTCCCTTGCTTCATAGCCAATAGGACCTCTTTTCAGTTGAAATGTCAAATGGCCTTTGCACAAACTACAGCCCTTATTCTTGAAAGAGCACTATTGTGCATACTGGGGACTCTAATCATTTGCTGATTAATGTAATTGGGTAGAAGATGGTAGTCCTCAAAGTCAACAGTAAACTCTACTCTTCTGTAGCCACAGGCACCAACTCCAGCCAGCCAATTTTGCAACACATATAGTACTAATCATGAGAGGCTAGAGGCCAATGGCTGGATGGTTCAGTAAGACCCATCCCCCCCATGAGGAAACTGCACCAGGCAAGTGCTGAAGGGGTCCTCGGCTCAGAAAGACGACTCTGGAAACCTGCTTCCTTCCATGGCAATGGATGCAGTGGCGCCCAGGGAGATGGGAAAGGAGGTGTCCCACCTGGGCAGCCCACACCTACCTCTGTGTTGACGCCCAGGGCTTTCTCCAGGGAGTACTGGTACTTCCCCATCCGCAGGGAGAAGTCTCGGTAGTGCTTGTCCACTGTGGTCACCCACTTCCTGATCTCTGTGGCATGGATGTGGCCCTTTTCCACGAAGCTATCGGCCAGCTGAATCAGAAGCTTCACCTTCTCCTTGGTTTGCTGCCCCAAAGGAGGGTGTAAGTTACCAGATGGCATAGACTCCCATGGCCCTCACCCCACCCGTTTTTTTCTTCCTCACAGCAGCCACAGCCGCCTCACAGACAGACTGCCAGGGTCTACACCTCAGCTCTGTAGCTGATCATCAGCTGGGAGGTCTTGAACAATTCACTTAAACCCTCTGTGTCTCAGCTCCTTATCTGCAAAATGGGAATCATCACACTGGGAGGTTGCTGTGAGCATGACAGGAGTTGGCCACGCAGAACACTGAGAACAGTGCCTGAAACAGTGCTCACAGCAGAAACTCGATAAACCTTAGTGATAGTCATTGTAATTCCTGATGTAAGAATTTCTCATAGCCATGAGAGGTTATCAGTTTACAGAGTATGCTAATGCCACCTCTGAGACTCCCTGGGAGGTAGGTGGAGGGAGGAAGTGGGGGCTCTTTGAAGCAACAGATGGAAATGAAAACACTGAGGCTGAGAGGTGCAGGGCTTGTCCTAGTTCTGACCTCCTATGAGTGACACAGCCGTGTGCCCCTGACCCTCAGTCGCTAGTCCTCCCTTTCACTGTCCTGGCCTGAAGTGGGCTTTCTAAGCGCCAGGGAAGGGAGCACATGCCAAGATCTAAAGAAATCCAAATAGCAGATTAAAGGGTAAACATTGTCCCTTTCATCACCAGGCTCTGTCTCCAGTTTCCACAGAGAAAGAGAGAAAAGCATGAATGAAGCTGGAATCCATCACAGGGCTGAGGAAGGTGGAGCTCTGATACACAGTGTGTTAATTTCATTTCTAGCAAGTGTTTGCTCAATACCGACTCTGTCCACACTACAGTGCAGTGGGCTGTGGGGGGAGTCGAGGGGGTTAAACAAAAGAAGAAAAAAGATGCTCATTTCCCAGAAACAATCTATATCTCTAGAGGGGACAAGATGTCCACAGAGAGTGGTTACATGACTCAGGGCATCATGTAATTGAATGTCAAAATGAGAAGTATGTATAGCTACACTGCAGGGATTTTAAACCAGGAAAAACAACAACAGTGGGCTGGCATGGGCAGGAAAGGTCTCAGAGGTGGGACTGCATGCCGAGTAAGACATGGAAATGGAAGAGATGTTTAATAAGTAAACACTTGCTCATCTTTTATCATACTCTCGGTTTTAAAACACTAAAATCGATCAGGGAAGCCTAGCAGATTTTAAAGGAAAGGAAACATTATTTAAATAATACCCTGAGAAGTGCAATGATCTTTTGGATGGGAGGGCAGTAGTAGGCCCAAGTTTGGGTCGTGCTACAATCTAGATAATCGAGGGGGGAAGAGCAGACAAGATAGAGGAGCCTACGTTGCCCTCCCCTGCCTTTCCAGGCTCATCACAGTCCCTCCCAGGCCACTGAGCCTCCCAGGAAGTGCCTAAGAGGCTGGCAGGGAGGACTTGGCCTGCCAACAACTCCCTCAGCACACCTGAGCCTCTCTTGCCTCAGGGACAGTGGACTGCACCCAGGTCTGGGAGCCAGGGAGCTAGGAGAGCTTTGGTGTGAAGTAAGAAAGTGGGTATGAGAAGAGGAGAAACAGCTCCTTAGCCATGGGGAGGCTGAGAATAGCAGCACTGGGGATTGGATAAGAAAAGACACCTGGTATCCTACAGACTTCTACCTTACTGCATTAGGATCCCCCTTAACCCCCTGAATACAATTTACTTAAAACAGAGATTAATTTTTACAACTATAAATCAAGAAATCTATCTTTGTGTCAAGTTCGGAAAATACATATTTATTCTCTGCTCTTGGTAAGGAGACGTCAGCATGAGATGGGGTTTACTAGTGGAAATTTTATCCTGAAACATTTAAACTGTGATTCAGAGTCAACAAAAAGAAAGACTTATGACCAAAGGTGTTCCAGGGATGTGTGGAATCTGGGCGAGCAAATAATAGACAACAAAATGAGCAATATTGACAAGCCCTCCCCCAACATGACCTCATCTATACTTGTGTCTGTCTCCACCTTCTCCATGGCCCCTCACCTGCAACAAGTCCAACCTCACATGCCCACCGACCCCTGCTGTGATGCTTCTACTTCTTGCTTTTAACCCAATAGCCATGTGGATGCACATGTGTACACACACATACACACACACACACACACACACACACACACACACACACACAGTCTGAGCAGGTGATGCCCTTCCCAAAGTTCCCCCAGCAGCCCATATATGCCTCTACTTAAGCATGTGTCACATGAATCATATATATGTCTCCTTCATTAGTCCATAAACTCCGAAAAGATAAGTGCTGTATCTTATTCACTCATCTCCAGTGTCTAGAAAATAGTAGGCATAGCATAAATGTTGAATAAGTGAGTGAGCAAATGATTAAGTCTTGTGTTTAGAGGTGTGTAAAGCCAGACCAATAAGATTGAGGGTGTATACTGAGAAGAATTAGATGATACATTTGGCCCATGAAGTGGGCACCAACCTGCTCACCGCCCTGCTGAGTGCAGTCTGACATGATTTCTTATACATGGTGACTCTAGTGCAACCTGCCATATGCCTGGCCACAGCAAGAGGTCAGAGGTTATAATTTGCCCCGCAAGGGCAGCCCATCTATATGCAGTGAGTTACTTCCGATCTGTCCTGCCCTGAAAGTTCTGTCTACACAGGGACAATGGCAATATTCTGGGTCAGTGGAGAAGGTTTCTCTGGGAGTGCGAAGTGCAGAGGCGGGGGACTGGTAGGTAGCTGCAGAAGAGAATGAAAATGCAGACAGCAGAGAGAAAGAAGGAAAGGAAGCTGGATGGAGATGATATATCCCTGATGCCCTGAGATAAGATGACCAGAGAGTGTGGCTGCTGGAACTGAATCAGTCTTGAGTGACATTTCAGCTTTCGTCTCCAGAGGTGAGACTAAACCACATTTCTTGTTTTTCCCATAAGGGGGATTCATTCAGCATTTTCTGGGCTCCAGGAGGTCCAGCGACATAGTTTTTATCTCATAATGTGGCCCAGTTTGAAGCTTAGATCTTGCTACCAAGAGAAAGTAACTTATATGGACTGGTACAAGTGAGGGTCCAGTTGTAGAGGTTCTCGAATGTTAGGTTCAGAAGTATCTACATGGTCTTGTGGACAAAAGGAACCTTTGGGGAAATAAAATTCATTTGGGCCCAGAAATTTGGAACTAACATCTCATTTATATTGGGCTTGATATGTACCCTAATGTATGTTGTGCCATTTCTATTTTTTATTCTATGTTATCTACTAAAAAAATAGGTAAAAAGAAAGAAAGACAGTAGTTCTTTTCTTTTTCTCTTTCTTTTCTGACCTTGCTTCCTTTGACCATCATCTCCCAATCAGTGAGCCTTATACTGAATATAATATCTCAAAAGTCCTTTTTGTGTCTTTAGCACATCTCATAAATCTTTAAGATGTAGCCTTTTTGGTATTTTTCTTATAATTTCAGTATAACCTTCCAATTTGCCTTTCATTGTCAATATTATTTTTATTGATCGACACTTTTTTGTTGTTGATAAGAAACTATTGAGCTCCCAGTGTGGGTAAACAGTTCTCTTAAGCAATATCTTCATATTCATTCCTAAGAGGAGAGTGCGTCATTATATATAAACAACTAAGCCTTTAAAAAATATTCACTTGTGCCGAAACCAGTTTGGCTCAGTGGTAGAGCATTGGTCTGCGGACTGAAAGGTCTCAGGTTCGATTCCGGTCAAGGGCATGTACGTTGGTTGCGGGCACATGCCTGGTAGGGGGTGTGCAAGAGGCAGCTGATCGATGTTTCTCTCTCATCGATGTTTCTAGCTCTCTATCTATCTCCCTTCCTCCTCTCTGTAAAAGATCAATAAAATATATTTAAAAAAAAATTCACTCGTGGCAATATTTATTTCTCTGTATAGTCTCAGAAACAGAATTATGCCCATCTTTTCTGTAAATGGTTTTGATTCCATTTTTCTCATTCTAAGTGCCTGTCCGACATGCCCAGTGTTCCCTTTCCTCACAATCTAAATTCCAACACATAATTTAGTTCAGTCAAGACTCCTATAACTTTCCTTATCTCTTCATTCTCTTTTGTTAATAAGAATGAAGCCCAGTTTATCTCATAGCTTCTTTTACTTTCAGAGGTGAAATTCCCAGTTTAAAAGTTAAGCATAAAAATAAATAAATACCCCCCCCCACACACACACTCCCCTAAAACAAAAAGTTAAGCAGAGAGTTACCCTATGACCCAGCCATTCTACTCCTAGATATATACCTAAGAGACCGAAAACATATGTTCACACCAAAACGTGTCCACAAATGTTCCCAGCAGCATTATTCATAGTAGCCCAAAAGTGTCAACAACCCAAATATCTAGCAACTGATGGATGCCCAAAGCATAAAACCCGAGTAACAATGTGAGCAGAAAAGAGGAGGAAGAGGTGAAGGAAGAATGGATTAAATTGACTAAATGATTCTCTGCATTTGCACTTCAGTTATGGACAGATTCTGATCCTCAGACGTTCTATGGTCCATCCTATGTACCTGCTGCGACCCATCTTATTATCTGGCTTGTTAACAGTTCATTACTGACACTGTTTGGAGAGGGGCAGACAGATGCAAAGTGGGTAATTCCAAAGCCATGCTCATTTGGGTTTGAAAAGGGTAGTGTGCGCCTGCCATCTCCCTGGTGCTGCCTGTTCTAGCTAATACTGAAATAAGTCTCTTATCTGAACTGACAGCTTTTCCCATTGGCTGAAAAGGGGAGGGCTCAGCAAGTGGGTGACCACTTCTGAAATGTCAGCTCCAGAATGAGACTAAGGGCCTAATTATGCCACAGCAAACCAGAGGAGCGTTTACCGTAGTGTCAGAGGGATCTCTGGGTAGGATGGGCCTTCCTATCCCCCCTTGACTCTCACCCTGGGAAGAGAGCTGCCGTGGGTGGGAGTGATGCCCAGAAAGGTTCGCACGGCAGGGAGCCCAGAGTGAGGGACAGGAAGCTACGAGGAGGGAACTCAGATGAGTTTTCATTCAAACCCATGGGTCCTCAGATCAAATCCTGGCTGTGAAAACAGATGAAAATGAGATTTCCTCCAATTGTTCATTCCCTGCCTCAGTGTAAATGGGAGGGTGAGGGGTGTGGTATGTGCACTAGTGCAGGATTAGGTTCCCAGAGATTCCAGTCTGGCTCATTTTCAGGTCTGAGGCAGATGAAAGTACAGTTGATCCTTGAACAACATGGGTTTAAACAGGCAGTAAACTCGCCTATTGCATGAACCCACCCATAGCCATTGGCCCTTCCCATAAGGTGGATTTTCTAAGCCATTCAAGTGTCAAGAACGTGTAGCTAGGTCCCAGGCTCACACATGCAATGTGCATTGTACATGAATACATCCCTTTGCCTTATTTGTTCTGAAAGAACACAGGGGATCCAGAATCTGGAGCATGAAGAGGAGTACTGGAAAGCCCCAGGCATAGAAGCTGATTTCTGCAGACAGACGCTCTAGCTAGCATTCTTTGGGTCTTTGGGTTTCAAAGGACATAATCCTACCTATGCTTCCCCCCTCGCCACTGCGGAGAAGCATTTTTGTGCAAGAGGCTGCTCTCCCTTCCGTAACATGAAATTGGTCAGACGGGGCAGTGCTGGGTAGATTTGGGGAAGGCCCAGGGTGCTTCCTACCTTGGCAGGCCCCCTGAATTCTCCATATTCCTTCAGCAGTTCCTGAGTCTCCTCTGGGGTCTCTCCGGTGGAGGTATGTGTTGAGAGGTAAAATTCACCTGTTTCTTGGATCCAGTCCAGTGCCTGTGGGAGGAAACAAGCCGCCCAGCCCCCCCAAAAGCCAGGGATCAGTCAGGGAACATGCCACGCTACCATGTCCCCGTGGTCTGATGGACCCGGGAAATTCCGACATGACTCAATCAGTACACAGCTTGAAAGCTGATCCTTCCCTGTTGGACCTGGAATGTCCCACTGACAAAGAGAGTGCCTTGTCCATTAGACTGACCCAGTATCATTGTGAATTAGGGGTGATCTTCCTCCAGAACCTCCTCCCCACTCCTGGCACCAAACTCAGCCTTTGCCTTTCCTCTCCTCATCCCAACCTCCCACAGTCCTGCTCTGCCTGTCACTGCGACCCTTTTCTGGACGCCCCAGGAGCTGGTGCTCTGGACCTCTGTGTAGTCCCTGGGGCTGAGGCGAAGCCGGGGAACGCTCTGCACATACCTGCTTGGCACTGCGCTCAAACACCACGTACTGCTGGCACTGGTCTAACCGCCGCTTCTTCAAGGTCCAGAAGTGCAGGACACGGTTCTCCCTCTGCAGGAGCTCACTCAGGATGGCTGCAGCGGGGAGACCGTGCCAGTCACAGGGAGGCCCTGACAACTCTGACTGGCCACTTCCCCCCTCCATCCCAAGTGCCAGATACTGTGACCTTCAAGCCTTCCCACACAGGACCGATCCAGGCATCAGAAGCAAGGGAGCAAAAGCATGGTCCGGAGAGTATTTCCCAGACGGGGGAGGCTGGGGTGAGAGCCTGTTGATAAAGTTCCTCAACTAATGAGGGATGAGTATGGCCCGAGGGTGACCTAAAAGTGACCCTGATTCTCTCACACCAAAGCTAGTCCTTGATGGTAAGAGATCGTAGGAAGTGTCAGTCCCTAATTCACGGCGCCTACACGAGTGAATGGACTTGACAGAATCCCAGCTGCTCTAGGCTGGTGGGAGGGGAGGAAGGGAGCTGTGACTGAGGGCTGGTGGTACTGCATGGCTAACCTGAGGCACAGGCCACACCCCTGCCCTGCATATGAGCCGTGCACACAGCACGTGACCAGCAGAGCCTCAACTCTAAAATGTCTAAATAACAGTAACGGGAAGCTGTGTAGGAGACGTGTCCACATGGAGTCATACCTCCAGGACCAAACTTCCACGTTGTTTTGGATCCCATCATGAGAAATGCTGAGAGCTGGCCTCACGTCCCGCTAACGATGTTAAGCATGGGCATGTGAACAAGGCACACGGCACCACAGCGGGCCGGGAAAGGTGTTTGTCCTCACCACTTCCCAGCTTGTCCTGTTGTTTCAGGAGCAGCTGGCTACCTGGATAAATTTCCTGAGTGTTTTAATAGTATGTCCTATGCTGCTGGAGGCAATCAAATTGATTTGTATTATGTCTGCCTCCTGCTTGCTGCTAACTATATTAGATGCCAACAAAACACACAATAGGGCTATTTAGGAAGATTAATTATATGTATTAAGCCCTCACTATATTTTCACGGTGCCTCATGATGCAGGAGCTTACTCAGCAAGGCTGCATCTCCACTCTATCACGAACAACCTGAGGTTCAGAGAGTGTAGGTGACACCCAGCATCGTTCAGATGAAAAGGGGGGAGCAATTTACTTCAGACCCTGAGTGCTTAGCCACCTGGGCTCCTGGGCTCCTGGGGCTCCCAGCACCAGTCACTGTGCTCTGCAGAGGATGCCCCAAGTTGCTGTGATCAGACCCAAAGGCTTCTGCTGGTTTTGTGTATTCGGAATGCTCCCTGGAAGTCTGGTCTTCTAAGGACAGAATCTGTCCCTCCTCCCCTAGACAGAGAGCTTTCATTGGCCCCTCTCCCCTTAGCTATATCCATCATGCACCTTTTTAGTTTCTCCCTGAAGAGACAATGTACATTTTCTCACCCCAACCTCAAGGTCCACCATGTGGCTGGCTTTGGCCAATGGGTTGTTATGATACCACACAGCAGGGGCTTGAAATGTGCTGTGCACTGACCCTCCTCTCCTCTCTGCCATTGACACCATAAGATATGCTCATGGGTAACTGCGGCCCCTCCCCCAAGGCCCCAGAATTAACACACGGGGAGCAGCCAGGTTCTGACCTGCAGGGAAGGGGTTGCACCAGCCACACTTGCAGCTCAAGCATGACTGCCCTACCGAGCCCAGCCAGGACAGCTGACCCCAGACAACATGCAGCCCCCTGAACAGTAGATGCCCACAACTGTGTTCCACCCAGTTGTTATGCAGCAATCACTGCTCCTGCACAAGCACTCAGGGGGCACTGCTTTGGGTGCAGGTAGCCGTAGAAGGGAAACGGATATTGGGGTCAGTGTAGTCCCTGCTCGGCCGGAAGTTTCCATTGGCCGATGTGTGAGAACCTGTTTTCTTCAGTCCTTCTGTCTCCTAGACAGAGCTTTGCTCATGGCAGCCCACTCTATGGCAGCTGATAGAAACAACCCAGACCGAGCAAAATGCCTGGAGGGTTTCAGGACTCGTTTTACCCTTTTCTTAAAGGCTTTCCTGGGGCAACCCCCGGCCCTCAACCTCACAAAGCTGCAGCGACCTGGTTCTCTCCGGGTGCCTGCCGCTCTCAGCACTGAGGCACAGGGGGAGCGTCTGCGCTCGGCAGGCAGCTGGTCTCCCTGGCTGCCACCTGCATTTGGAAGTCTGAGCACCCATCCACTCTGCACTGTGAGGGAAGAGGAAGGTGCCATCACGCCAGCCACCCACAGGGCTACTCCACCACAAACGGTGGCACACCTGGGAAAGGAACCTGCTCGCCTCTTCTCTGTAGAGGGCTTCAATTCCTAAAATCAATTCTCCCCACTGGCCTCTGATCTCCTCGCCTCTGAGCTCTCTGAGCAGGGACAGGGGCTCTTTCTAGAGCAGATCGGCCTCTCTCCCAAAGCAACCCTGCAGCTTCCCACTCAGCTGCCCGCTACCCTGTCTCCAGGTTGTATTCCTCTGCGATGCCAAGACAACACGTGTTAAGTCCTATACCTCCTTAAAGGCAAGTTTCTATTGGGTCCAGAATAGCAATCCCATTGATGATAATTTAAGCCTAATGTGGTCAGCTACTAGCTAGTTTTTAAAGGTGACTGATTTTTTTTCATACACTCATAAATGTTACAAATTCAGAGAGATGGTAAGGATCATCTAGACCAGTACGCCTCTATATCTCATGTGCGCACAATCACTGGGTTGGGGTGGCATGGGGAGCTCTCCCCAGAATTCAGGTTGCCTCCCTAGATCCAAGTGGGGCCTGAGATTCTGTGTCAGCTCCTATGGCTCCCAGGTGGTGTTGATGATGCTGGTCTGGGACCACATTTTAAATAAGGAAACGGAAGTTTTAAAAGTGTAAGCAATAAAGCCAGGATTGGAACGTGTCTCATTCCCAGGCTATCAGGTACCATAGCACTGTGCTGTTTGATCAGTTAGCCACATTTGGCTACTTATAATACACTGAAGTTGATTAATATTCAACAGAAGTAAAAATTCAGTTCCTCACTTGCACTAGGCCAGTGGTCGGCAAACTCATTAGTCAACAGAGCCCAATATCAATAGTACAACGATTGAAATTTCTTCTGAGAGCCAAATTTTTAAAACTTAAACTTATCCTAATGCCACTTCTTCAAAATAGACTCACCCAGGCCGTGGTATTTTGTGGAAGAGCCACACTTAACGGGCCAAAGAGCCGAATGCGGTTTGTGAGCCGCAGCTTGCTGACCACGGCGCTAGGCACATGGTAAGCGCTCCACAGCCATATGTGACATGTGGCTTCAAGATTGGGCAGCATGGACACAGGCCATTGTTGTTATTTCAGAAAATTCTATTCGATAGAGCTGCTCTAGACTCTAAGATAAATAAAAGAAAAAGCTTCGGAGAAGTTTTATCATCATTTTCCCATTCTAAAGCTTGATGCCTGTCTAACACAGTCCTCATGGATCATTACAGTCCATGCTAGCCCACATCTAACTCTTTCTTATCCAAGGAGAAAGCCCAGGAAATCGGAGGCTGCATGAAGACCAAGGGCACAGCCTCCAGTCCGTGCTGCGGAGGCGGCCGGCAGATGTCACTCTGACCTTTCACTTGCTGCTCGGGTCCCCGAGTGTGGCTGGCGGCGCTGGGCATGCTGACGTTGTTCCTGTGGATGTACTTGAGAAACACCTCCGCATTCCGCCGTGCCAGGGTGCAGGCCTGAGGGAGACAAGAAGGGAGAGCCCGCACGTAAGTCCCGGTCCGGCAGGTGCAGGGGACTCCAGACCCCGGAGAAGGGCTTGTGAATAGGGGCGAGCAGAGCCCTGCAGCCACCTGGCTCATGGACACCCCAGGCCCAGTGCGAGAGAACCATCCTGTCATGGAGTAAAGAACTGCTTCCCAAGACCCTCCCTGCTCCACCCCATATAAAAGTCATAAATCAGCCATCCCGGTCTAGGGTAAGTTGAGTCACTATTACTTTCCCTCTCAAGTGCGTTTTCCTCTGCCCCCAGAATGCCTTGCACATGAGCTCTTGTGTAAGTCAAGTTAACATTAGTTGAATTTAGACTTGAGAAAGCAAATTTGGGAAACAAACCTATTGACCATACATCTCAAGTCTAAATGGATATTACTCATGTTTAAAATTTCATTGGTCCATCAAATCAACTCTCACCTTAGTAACACTAATAAGCTTCTCTACCTAAAGGAGTAAGAGCTGTTTTCCTGGCCATGTAAGACCCACACTAGCCAGGGTGACAGAGAGGACAGGTGTGTCCCAGGTTGTTGGACCCACAGAGGAAACTGAGGCCTGAAAGGGCAGGAGTCATAAAGCAAGTCAAGGCTAGACCCTAGGTCCACTCTCAGTGTTCCTACTTTCTCTCAAGACCTTGGATGTTCCAAATTTCTTTAAAAAGCAGGTTTTTCCCCCCCTTGATGGTAGAATAATACATGGTAGTCCACTAATTTTTAATCCACAGTTTTCAGAATTAAATGATTTTTAGACAAAACTGTACAATTTAAAAACCTTTGTACAAGTTAGCATCTTATTCTACAAATTATATAATAGAAAATACTCTGAATGCTGCAGGAATAACAATGACTTCTGAGAGCTCTGGTCAAAGACTGCGGGTAGGTCTGTCCAGAGGCCATGAATTTAACAGCTGGAGGGTGGTCCAAAGCTAAGAAGTTCAAAATAGTCAACTAATGCTCACAGAAGGAGAACTCGATGTCCCATCCCCTGGGCACACGCTTCCCACCACAGCAGGGAGTTTCTCATCTACAGGTTCAGGCAGGTCGGAAAACATCTGTCCTGGACATTTTTTTTTCTTTCCTTCTTCAAAAGAAGCATTTAATTTGAAAAACTATCTTTATACCTCTATTTAAAGTTTTCATATGCTCTACTTAAGTTGTTTTGTTTTAAATTGTGTTTTATAACAGGGAAGACTTTTATGATAACCTTAAGCCCCGTATAGAAGAATTCCTACTGAATCTCATTAGTAAGAGCTGATCACTAGGGGTTCTGATTGAATGCAGGTGCAGACACCAACTAGATGGGAGGAGGGACAGGGGAGACCATCTTAAAAAAAATAAAAAGAATAACAATAAAACTCAAAGAGAAGGTCCAGTCGGGAAAATTCCAAATAAAAATTTAAAAAGGCAGTTAATTACAGAACTGTAAAAAATCAGTGGCAATATGTCAGGGTATAAAAATTCCCTTTTGTACTTTCAGAAACCTGAGAGGAAGCAGAACATGAAAGCAAGACATTGGAGAGTAAGTGGAGCCTGAGGTAAGTTTTAGCGCAGAAGACCCATCGGAGAGAAGAGCAAAGGCCAGAGGGAAGAGGGCTGGGAGGACTCCCACACACGGAAAGCCTGTTCAGCGCAGCCTGGGCTTCTCCCTGGGAAGCTAGAGCTTTTTTAGAAACAAAGAAACAAAATGAGGCATTTCTCGCTTCATATACAGCCGACTACACAGTGTTACAGTGATCAATAATGGATAACTTTTAAATTGATAAATAAATACGATGTCTACATCTATTTCTTCTAATTCTTGCCCTAAATATTGTATTATCCACTTACAAAAGATTTACATTGTAATATTGTTTATATTATTCTTTATATTTTAATATTGTTTTATATCTAGGCTTAGTTAGTATATTTCAATTAAGACTATTTTAATAAACCAAACGTATCTGAGGGAAAGTATGTATTTTTCTCAATTAACATCAGTGGGATTTCAGGATAGCTGAACCTGGCACCAGCAGTAATGGCATATCCTAACTGCCTAATTATACAAAAAGTACTGAGAGAAAAAAATTGTTTTTTGAAGTGTGACCTTTCAAGTTAACCAGCCAATATCTTCTCTACAACTACCCCCTTTCAGATATGAATCGAGAAAAAAACAGGGGCATGGAAAGTACTTGTGAAGCAGTGTTTTTTAGAGTGGGGATGGGTGAGACAAAAGGAGAGAAAGAAGGAGGAAGGGGAGGAGGAGGGACAGAGGGAGAAAGGGAGAGAGAGAGAGAGAATGAGAGAGAGAGAGAGAGAGAGAGAGAGAGAGAGAGAGAGAGAGAGAGAGAGAGAGAAAATGAGAGAGAGAGAGAGAGAGAGAGAGAGAGAGAGAGAGAGAGAGAGAGAGAGAGAGAGAGAGAGAAAGTAGATGGAAGACAGCCTAAAGTCCCAGACCTTGGATGACCAAGTGCTCTGACCTTAAGAAAGGCCTCCTTTTGTTCCAGATGTTTACTGATGAGAGGAATGACGTGGTCGATCTCCGCTGCTGGCCCCAGTTTATCTCGCCCACCACACCAATCCTCGTCTCTCCGGTATTCCTGCTCTAAGCTCTCCAGGACACTACAGACCTAGGGAATCATGGGAAGAGAAAAGATTCAATAAATTAATCAGTTGAGAAGTATTTTATGAGGATCTCTGGCAGAGAGAACCCTGCACAGATGCACACTTTTTAATTGGAAGTTCAGTTGGTAGATGGAGGGCCTGCAGTGCCCCTGGGGATCCGAGGGAAGTCCAGGAGGCAGGGAGACCCAGCGTCTGGACCTTGGGAGACAGCCCAAGACTGAGATATGGATTTTGGAATCATCTTCTGATAACTGATGGCTAAAGGCCAAAGCTACTGGGATTGATGGCATCATGTGGAAGAAAGACAGATTAGTACTTTTTGAAGATTTAAAAAATATATATATTATATTGTTATAATTTATAATAACTGTGAATTAGATAGTATAGAAAAATGAAGTTTTGGGGAAATACAACATCTTGTAGAAGAAAGACAAATTAGTACTTTTTGAGGATATATAAAAATATATTATATTGCTATAACTTACAATAACTCTGTGAATTAGATAGTACAGGAAAATGAGGTTTGGGGGAAATACTCAGGGTGGAACCATCTGAAATTGCCCTTCAGGAAGTAGTTTCAAGCAGAGGTAAAAAAGGAAGTTGCCTATATATTGTGTTTTATGGGCCATAAATGAATATTCCTCCTCGCCATGGAAAAATATCCTGGCAAAAATGTCTCAAGATACTACCACATGGCAATGACATCTCCAGGTCTTCTATTACAAAATGTGTATTTCCTCCAGAGGGATACAAATGTGGGTTAATCTCAAAGAAAGTTAAGGAGCTTTCTCACTTCAGATAATTTCTCACTTCTAAAATACCTTATAAATGAGCAAAAGAACAAAAGTAAAAGCATTTAGAATGCAGCTTGGAGGGGAAGTTAGGAGACCCGGGCAGCCTGGTGTCAGGGCTTAGGGAAGGATGTGGGAAATAGAAACTCATGCTCCTGGACTTCCCGTCAACGGGCTTTGATTGCTTGCTTGGCTTTGGCAGTAGGTGAGAACAGCTATTATCCTTGACCTCCTCTGACTGAGAAAGTCATCCGTTCTGATGCAGAGTGTGGCGTCGGATGGGGCATTTACTGAGTTATGAACTGAGCTGAAAGGTGTCCCAGGCAGGACACCCTCATGGCCAAGAGGCTTCCCAGGTGTGAGAGCCCTGTCACTGAACTCGAGCTGGCTCCCCCAGCACCACCCATCTCTGCCTAGGCAAGGCATGAAAACATTCAGGATACTCACACCTTGGGAGAAAACATTATACATTCAAAAACTCTAAGAAAAAAGAGTACTGGACACCTATCCTGTGATAGTATTGAACTTAAAACCAATCAGTTTGGAAGCTGAAAAGATTATAAAGCACAGATCCTTTAATTTAATAGGCAGAGAAACAGAATTCTTGAAAGATAAAGTGACCTTTAGCAATGTTAGTTCAGGATCAAATTTCCTGATTCTTAATCTAGTGCTCTGACCTTTTTAGTACCATGATACGTCTCAAATTAAAATTTGTGTATGATAGTAGAGAAGGATTAGCGTCATTTTATATGAATATTCAGTTGTCCAGAATCATCTGTGTAAGACCAAAGGATTTGTATGCATGCATATGAGCAAAATCAAGCGACACAGACATTAGGGGGTGAGGGCTTGTGCTTGGGGTGGGGAAGAGGTCAATGGGGGGAACAGGAGACTCATGTAATACTTTACACAATAAAGAATTAAAAAAAACTCTGTTTACTAAATTAATTCTTTGCCAAAAATTAACCAACTGTATAGATGTGGATCTACTCCTGGAACCGCTATTCTGTTCCATGGCGTCCATCCATAAACCCAGCACCATTCTGCTTGATCACTGCAGCTTTAAGGTAAGTCTCAAAATCAGCCAGTGGAACTCCTTCAACTTTGCTCTTCCTTTTCAAAGTTGTTATGGCTACTCTAGGCCCTTTGCATTTTCATGTAAATCTTAGAATTGGTATACCAATTTTTACAAAAATGCTTGCTGGGATCTGATTGGGACTCTGTTGAATTTATAGATCAACTGGGGGAAGCTCTTTATCGTCTTTGCTGCTCCCACGTCTGAAGGCATCATCTCTCTGAAGCAACAGACGGCGGGACTGAGAAGGAAACGCTGGCTGCAGGGCCCTCCCACAGACAGGCTGCCATTGCCCCTAAACACCTTCCCATGGCCACCCAGAAGAGAACGTTTCTCTGATCTATTTCTCCTAGGGAGCACTTGGAATGAGGGAAAGTACTTTACATGGAATAGAATTACTTCTGTTGGAAACCTCTATTTCATAGAAAGAATTCCCTAACAGCACCCAAATCATTTAAAAATCCTCTTAGCGCTTGTGCACATTGCTGAACAGATGTAATGGTAATGGGTCTGCATCTTTATGATCCTGCTATGTACTGTGTATTTCCTGCTTTGTTTCCCACAGCGACTCGGTCCTGCCAATAGGCACATAGTTCTCAATGACAGAGAGCCTTGTTTCCTCCATTAGACTGGGAGCCCTGTGAGTCAAAGAACTTTATATGCTTTCAAGCCGTGCACAGTGCCTGGTTGTGCTGGATGAGATTGTGTTCAGCAAACTGTCCTTTCCCAACTTCCATAGAAGGCATATACTTCTCTGCGTCATCGATGTTGGCTTGGCCACATGACTTGTTTTGGCCAAAAGGATGTTAGAAGCCTGTGACACAAGCAGAGATTTGAAGGGCACTTTCACAGAGAGATTTTGGGCTCTTGCACTTCTGCCTTTCACCCTAAATGAGTGCCAAGCAGCTGCTGGTCAAGGAGGGTAAGAGACATGGGAACAGATCTAGTCCCAACCTGCAGCTTGAAGCCAGCTCCACCAAGCTCAGCCAAGACCAGCTGAGCTCCAGATACTTATGCAAAAGGAATGAATGCTTATTGTTTAATACCACTGAGTTGTGGGGTGATTTGTTACACAGCATTATGCGTGGTAATAGCTGACTAATATCCCACTCCAATCTAGCATTTCCATTTCAACAGCTAGATCCAAGGGGTCTGAGAAATGTATAGAAGCACATCACATGGTCCGCTTCCCTCATGGAAAGCATTATAAGGAAGCCACAAATCATTCTCCTCTTCTCAAAGGTCAGCACTGAGAGGACTGGCTTCTTGCTGTGGTAAATATTGCAGATTTCTGAGGCAGAAAACAATCCTCTGTCACTCTCAGACTCACGCGCATACCCTCCAGCCCTTTCCCTCACCTGCTCAGAGGTTTTGTAAAAGGCCACAGAGGCGTTGACCAGTTTCAGCCGGTCTTCCATCTTCAGCATGAGCTGCTGCCAGTGGAGGGCCACCTTCTCCGCACATTCCCGGATGGCGTCCGCGTCGTAGTGGCCGGCCTGCAGCAGCACCTCTGCCTTCTGCTGCACCTGCAGGGCGCTCTGGTGCGTCTTCTGCAAGGAAGTGGCATGAAAGAGGGACTGGGCACAAGGGGAGGAGAGAGAGGTCCGTGGGAGCGACCCAGGCGTGGTATGGGAGGGGGTGGAGTGAGGCGTGAGTGGAAAGATGCAGAGAAGTTAAAGAGCTTTAAATGATGGGTTCACACATTTTTGTCACCATGACAATTATATTAACGTTTAAAGCATATTTTTAAAAAAAAATCATACATTTTCATGAACTCATTGCTCAGGTCTCTAACTCCTGTCCCCGCTCCTTTCCCTTCTACTTGCATCTCTCTGGGTCTTAAAGACATTTCGGTGTCTGTAGCAGAGAAACAACAGTTGTGTATACATTTGCTCTCTGATGGGCTCATACATTCAAGTTCCTTTTTAAATCTAATCATAAAGTTGTTCGTTATAATGCATCCCATTTTACAGATCTAATAAACATAGCTCAAAAAAAAATCCCCATCTAACAGAAATTAGAGCCAACGAGCAAACATTTTAATCAGTGACATCGGTTGGAAAGGACTGCAGTAGAAGGGATAAATCTGGCAGATTAATAAAGCAGAAGAGTAGCATCTCACACCATCCCCTAGCAACCTCACCAAGGGAACCGAGCAGTGCAGTAGACAGTTCAGCTCCACACATGATCCTCACATTACTTCATTATGTGCATTTGCCTTTAGGGTAATGTATACAGTAGGAGGTTTATGTTCTTATTCAGGCTCAATGTGGTTGGCATTCTCTGAGTTTACATTAATTGTAGGAGGTGGGGAGATTAGGTTGGAAGACGGGGTGGCCTCAACTGCTGAGATTATTTCAACCCAATAGGAATTTGGCCTTTGCACTTTTAGGAATATGGCTCAGCTGGCAATGAAAAGTATCAGCTAGAAGCGTGGTCGGCAAACGGCAGCTCGCCAGCCACAAGTGGCTCTCTGGCCCCTTGAGTGTGGCTCTTCCACAAAATACCACAGCCTCGGGGAGTTTATTTTGAAGAAATGACATTAGAAGAAGTTTAACTTTAAAAAATTTGGCTTTCAAAAGGAATTTCCATCGTTGTACTGTTGATATTTGGCTCTGTTGACTAATGAGTTTGCCGACCACTGAGCTAGAAGCCCGGTAACAGACTCTGGAATGATTTCTGCCCTTTTTCTGGGGCATCCGTGCTGGGACAGCCCCAAAGAGCACATCCTTTCTGCACTCCCTGTGTGTGAGGACAACCTCCCTCCTTTTCACCTCCACTCTCCCTTCACCTCATCCCACGCGGCAGCCCACACAGCGCTATTCATTTTCCCCAGCCTACCAGCCACCTCCTGGCTTCCCTTCCCTGTCTCTGAAACCTGTACCCAGTGTTAGCTACGTCAAAACCACCTCCTCCAGCAGCCCAGACACCCTTATTCTCTTGCTTTGCCACGGAGCCAGCCTTCCAGCCTGATGACCACATCAGCACTTGGGTTCCTAATTGCTGAGAGAAAGTCAACTAATGGGCTGAAACGACCGGCTATAAATCAATCCCTGGTTTCTTTCTCTGCTTTTTCCTTATTGGCAGCATTTTCTTTTCCTGTCTCCTACATGTAGAGGCACCTCAAGGCCTATCCTCTTTTTTTTTTTTAAATTTTATTTTTTATACTTCTGCAGAGCTCTTATCTAGTTCCTTGACTTCCATTTCTCCTCTTTGTAACGGACTCCCCAGCCTACATCTCTCACCTCAACACCTGACCCTTATTTTTGTCTTTGGATCTGAGGGGAAGCTGCCTGCCACACCTGTCACCCAGGTCAGCAGCACGGATTGATCTGTCTGTCTGCTCATGTTAGGTAGTCGCCTACAAAGATGCATTCTCAGTGAAGGAGTGAAAGATACTCCTAGAGAGAGGAGGAACCCTCACCAATAAATGGGGATGTTTTTACTGTCCTGTCAGAGCCTCCACCTTCCTCCCAGACATCTCCTCAAGTTCTACATCTAAACGAAACGCCTCCTCCCTCTAAAACAGGCCTCCCTGGGCACTTTCCAATGCTGCGGACGGTGCCCTCCTCTCTGCCACCTAACATCACAGTCTCATCATCACCTTGTCTGCTGTTCCTCACCCTGAATCCCAGTCCAGTCCTCACCACCTCCTAAGTAGACTGCTGTGCCTTGCCTTCCATGTCTACTCCGTTCAACCCATCCCTGACATTGCTGACAGATTAGTTTTTTGTAGTAGAAAGTGCTTGGATTAAGTGACTTCTGATGTCCTTTTCAGCTCTAAAACTCAAACTTTATGCTATAAACCTCTCTCCCTTTTTTCATGGAAAAAGTCTTCAGTAGTTCCCTCATTGCTAGAAAATTTTAAACCCAAACTTTAGACCATGTCATTTATCTTTATGTATTTACTTTTTATTGATGTCAGAGGGGAAGGGAGAGTGAGAGAGAGAGAGAAACAATAATGATGAGAGAGAATCATTGATTGGCTGCCTCCTGCACAACCCCTACTGGGGATCGAGCCTGCAACCCATGTGCCCTTGACCAGAATCAAACTTAGGACCCTTCAGTCCACATGCTGACACTCTATCCACTGAGCCATGTCATTTAAAGCTTCAAAATGTGGTCCTAACAACTTCCATGCCATTATCACCTACTGTTTTCTTACAAAACATGCTTTGAAAAAGCACCATACTCTTTTTGTTTTTGCTACCTCAGACTTCCTGCCTGTAAGGAACATCCCTTAGCCTCTCCCCATCTATGTTCCAGTTTCCCTTTGACACTCTTCTCACCTCCTTCAAAGAGGCCTTTCCAGACCGCCCGAGGCTCACCAAAAACTATCCTCTTCTAAACTATATCACTTGTCTAACCCTTGGCTGATTCTCTTTACTTATTCTGTGAAATTCTCATACAAGGACTATTTAAAAACTCACCTGAATAGCTGTCACTTAACCAGGTGTGTACTCTGTGCTATGCATGTTCTTTTCTAGTTCTCATGACAACACCACAGGTAAATCTTACTATTCCCATTTCACAGATTAAGAAACTAAGGCTCAGGCTGGTTAAAGGATTTGCCCAAAAATGTACAACCAAGGAAGTGAACAAAACAAAAATAAGCTTCAGATTTGATCTATCCCCAAACCTATGTCCTTTCCACTATATTACATCACATCTTGAGCAATCGGAATAGTATCCAAATCTACAGTGTCTCATTTAGAGGAAGGGTTCACAAAGTGAACATTTAGCAATTATGATAATTATCTGGCTTCCCCTCAGTATATGAAACCAGCATATAATTGTCATCATGAACCTGTTATTATGTCTTTTTCTCTGACAGAGGAGGAATAACTTTAATTTTCCTGTAATTTATGCTATGTAATAAATCCTCTTGTTTTATCCTCAAATTCATTATCATCTAACAGTCCTGGGAACCCCTTCCTCCTTTAATTTCCAAAATGACAAACTCCATGTACATGACCTATGACAACCCTTGCATTGCTAGGTTTGAGTAATTATTTTGCATTTATTCCTTCTCTTTATCTAATCCTATGGGTTGCTATATTTTTAAGACATGGATTATCAAAGACGTTAATATTTAGTAGCAGAACACAGAAGAAAATGGAACCATATCAACTGAATTTATTAACCAGTTACAACTACTGGGTCACTATTACTTAACTAAGTCTGCCATAATGCTTAAGCTTGAAATGTGTAAGAGGATTTCAAATAAAAATGGAATTTAAAATCAAGCTTTTCTCTATGGTGTTCAGAGTCCTTGAAGGCACAACAGCCACACATCTTGGATACTAACACACAATCCAGGTTTGCTGATAAAACCATGCTTCTGGGCTCTACTACTCTCTGAACAACTCTGGGGAGTAGTAGCCATTCTGATCGGCTCTGAGGAGTGTTCCTGAAACCAAGGCCACTTCAGGTAAAAATTCTGAACTATATCCCTTTGTGGGGCCAAAACCTTCAAACGGTTGAGGCCACCCAAGCGAGGGTGAGCAAATCATGGTTTGCCCAGGATAGTTCTGTTTGTGCCTGTTGTCTGACTTAATTATAAATATTTCCCACCTTCACTCTTAAAAATGTCTCTCTTTTAGCAATAAATTACATGGTCACCCTACCCACAGCTATTTTATTTTCCTTTCTGGAATCCAGGGTTCCTTCTTAGGGCTCAAATTATGAATTCAAATTATGCTCCCTATCAGCAATCATTATAAGGCTTCTGGTAACACCAACAGAATGGGATAAGCCAAACCAGACTAGTTAGATCAGCTTTCAAAGTGCTTAAATCATCCATGGCATCTTCCCCCCATGCAGAACCTGCTGTAAACAGACATGTTTAGAGAGAAGCACAAGCCCCCGGAAGGAGGAGTATACATTGAAATTCTGGTTCTGTTTTCATCATTACTCTAGCCACACTGCAGACCCTGCCTACCCTGCATTCCCAAGATCTTTCAGAAATCCCATCTGCTCTGCCACGTCCTCCTGAAACCATAGGCAGACTCTACAAGGGCCTCTATCTCAACATCAATTCCAATCTGACCAAGTTGCACCCAAGCAATTAAGAGACATCTATGCTTAGCGAGCCTTCATTCTGTAAGGATACAGTGGCATCTACAGCAAATGAACACATGATGTGTATGCAAGTCACATCAGATTTAGTCATTTAGGTAGCTTTGCAAATGCATTTGCCCACTATTTTCCACTAGCTCACTGAGATGCTCAGGTGTGCCATGACATTCGGTTTTACTTTCCCAACATCTGATTAAGGGACTAAACATTTAATTACCTGTCAGGCACTTAAACCTTCCTGTGCAACACAAACAAGGAGGAAGTATGGCCAAGAGCTGTTTGCTCCTGCCCCGCATCCCTCCCAGCCTGATGGCATTCCTCCCGTCTGACTGGCAAACCTTTGTTCTCCACACTGCTCCTCTCCCTGGGCCTTGCCCACTGGATGCCTCATTCTTGACTGTAGCCCCAGTCCTGATTTTTTTCCTTATGGTGAATAGTTCCCAATCTCTCATGTGTGGGCATGTCAGTAAAATGCAACAGAACAGATAATGATAATAATAATGATAATAAAACTCTCTTCTGGTCAGTTCTTCCTCAGAAAAGTATCTGTGCCCATAGGGTGTGGGTAATATACAGTATATTTTACAATCTTAAATCCCAAACAGTATCCTGGTATTAGCAGCTGTTCCCGAGAACATATCAGAAATCTTACAGAAACATGCCACTCATGTTCATGCTATTTTTACACGTATAAGATAGGAAATTAAATGGTTGAAATCAATCAACCACTAGTTTAAAAATGAGTGGCAATCAACTCGATTACTATCTTAACCATATACTTATTGGCATGAACAGTAAAAATTGTATCACTGTTGTGGAAAATTCTCAATAACAATAATTTTCTGTAGAAGATAACACTTTGCATTTCTATCACATTGAGAAGTGGGTCGAAATTTATACTGAACCACAAGTAATGAATGTCTGTGACATTTTCCCTCTTTATCTCTTTTCCCATTGGTACTGAGCTTATTTTATTTTTAATATCGTTCCCATGTCTCATTTCCTACTATTTTCCCCGACACTATGCTAAAGCAATCAGCTCAAGTCTCTTTGGGAAGGATAATGTTCTAGCAGAAAAGACCATTAAAGGTATTATTTAAAGCAAGATCAGACTTATATTAGATGATAGTTAAGTGCAGTTTTATTTTGAAGCAGCATCACTGAACAACTACTCTCAGCGGAGCAACCCATCCAGCGCTGTCTGCCCCATGATCACCGTTCTTGTAAAGAGGCCGAATCTGACAACGGAATCAACCTTACATGTGAACTAAGCGTTTAACATGGAATCCTAATTTACTAATGACTCTCTCCCTTGTTCATCCTCAGTTCTGTGTGACCTTTACATTTCTCACATGGTGCAGAGTCCACAATGAACAAAAAACTCAATGCACCAGGGGCCTTGAAGGTTAAAGGTACCAATTAGAAAGCAAGCAAATCCATGTTTGTAGTGTGACTACCTGAGTTCTAAAACCAGGCCTCCTTCTGGGGGAAGCAGGCTGGGGGGTGGGGGATAAACCCTACATTGGCTTCTCTATCAATTCCTGGAGAGTAGGGGGGCTCCCTGGACCATTTCACTAGGAAGAGTGAGGGCTTCGTTACATAAAGGGACACCCACATATACGAAATTGCCCCACTTGAACCACAGAACAGAAAGGGGAGGGGAGGGTGGTGCAGCCAGATGTGGGTGTTACCTCGATGGCCAGTTGGAACTGCTCGTGCTCCCGCTGCAGCTGCTCCGCTTCAGACAAGGAGCTGGCGTTGACCAGGCTGGCGTTCAGCATCGACTCTCCATTGCGGATCCATCCCAGGACCTATGGAGTCGGATGGGAGCACAGGTGAACGGCCTTCGCAACTTCCCCAGAGCCGTGGCCTTCTCTGATGGGCCCTTCAGGCAGAGAGCTCGCTACCTGCCAGCCACAGGACGGGTCTGGGTAATTGGATTGGTCACCTTCCTCATCTTACCTGGCACCCTGAGCCACAGGGCACTTACTTTAAGGATCAACCTCATTCCCAGCGTCATATATTCTTTCCTACCTTTATCATGCCTCTGTTCCAATTTTCTCACTCACTTAATTTAAACATTATTTTATCTGACTGCATGTATGTCCATTTCTGAAGTTCCTCCTGGACCACAGAATGGGATAAATAAACTCCCTCTGTTGGTACCCTTTTCTTTTTTAAAACCCCATTTTAAATAGTAATAACAAATTAAAATCTACCAACTTAATCACTTCCATGAGAAAGGACCTCTGTACACCTAGCACCACCATACCATTTTGCATGTACCACTTTTAAGGCACTCACTCTGCCTTTGGTCAATTATTCTGACCTACGTTTCATTTCTGCCCTTGGAAGGTAAATTTCCAGAAGAGCAGAGTATTACATTAGTCACATTTTCATCTCATACAGTGCCCAGCACAGTATCCATCGTATGATTGGTATGCAGTAATGTTTTGAAAGAGTGAGGGATTATCTATGACGAACACCCAGGTCACACCTAAGGAGTGGGTCCAACCTCCTATGCCTATAAATAGCCAAGGTAGACAGGCTTGAGTTTTGGCAGGTAACCCAAAGGAAGCAACCCAAAGGAAGGAGGAAGGAGAAAAACAAAACAAAACAAAACAAAACAAAACAAAAAAAACAAGCAAAATAGTGTAAATAACCCATACATGGGAACATCAGAAAAAGGGAGAGTAAGTTATAATTGATTTAGAGGCAATGATTCAGCTGGGTAAAATTTATAGGTCACCTTAATTAGTTCTCAGCGAGGGTATATTAGCATAGAAGGAGAAACAGCTAACATCGTCTAGACAGTCCTAGGTGACATGGGCATGCGCAATTACCCAGCTAATAGTGTTAGTGCGAACAATCAAACTGGAAGAATCTGGCCTTGAGAATCTACCTTGTGTCTGGTCACCAGCAGATTGCCAAATATTTTCTTTACTAGGAAGTCTGAGAGTTTTACTGAAGAAAAAATTCTTTTGAAATGTCAAAATCAGTAAATACCACGTATCTGTCACTTCAACACCAACAGAAGTCACCACAGTCTGTTTCAGAATATTATTTTCTCCTCTTACTTCTTCATGTTAAACAATTAGGAAAATACTAAGCCTGGTCTCCTATGCCATAGCCCTCATAGACATTTTGCAAATTTCCTCATCGGGCAGAAAATGACTAGTGCCATATCGTCCATGGGTAACATGGGGGCAGAAATCCTGCTGAGGCAGGGCTATCTGGATTGAGATGTTAATTTATGGCCGGTCTGGCAGATTGTGGATGAGATACAACTATTGTACAGCAAACAGTTGTAGGAAATAATTGCTCAGAGTGTATGTGTGAAATCTCCCATGCCACTGGTGGACTGTCGCTGTCTGGCTCCCAGGGTGAATGACTTCCCAAAGCTGCCTGTAAGTTTGGGTGCAAGCATATATGGATTGTGTGCTCCAAATGTGTCATCTTTTTGCAAAATGGAGCTCACAATGTACATTTCTGAACTATGTAGTCCTTCTGCCATGATTCATTGCATTCTGCTTGGTTCAAGATCCATCTGAGGGTGTCAGAGAAACATTTTCTCCATGTACATCACAAATCAATGCTTGACGGGCAATCTGATTCCCTCTGGGCCTCCTGAGGAGATATTCCTCTCCAGTTTCAGCCAGCTGAAACATCAGTTGTAGCTGTGGTTGTGGGATTCCCATTTACCAGCTTTTCCATTTAGAAATATTATGGGCTCCAGTCTTTACCTCTTTCATTAAATCGTGCCAAATCTTTGACATCCTTGCTCACTTTTATTTCCTAAACACTATTTATAAAGGCATTGCAGGACTTTAAAGTGGGAGACTTGATTTTAGGGAGATAAAAAGTGCATGGCAGTTTATAGCCATGCCTCAGGTTCGGTTAGGGTTATTGAGTTATTCCTAGAAACAGAACTGAGATAGTATAGATAGAGCACAAAACCTGAAGTCAGCACACCTGGCTTTGTTACTAACCCTCTGAGTATGTTTTCTCATCTATAAGGGTAGGATAGCAGTATCGTCCCTTTCTGTATCAGGGTTGATGCAATATAGCAGAATAATAGTGGTGGTGCTCATTCTCAGTTCTGGAGCAAAGCTAGGTAATGCTATGATTCTTCATTTGTACCTCTCACATGAGAAGAGAGAAAGTCTGGGAATGTTAATTTTTGTCCCAGTGTTTGTAGCATTTATTGGCATATTCTGGGCCTCGTAATGTTAGGTAGGCATCTTAGCTGTTTTGTTATCATCATTCTTGGTACTCTGATTAGTGACAATTCTTGTTGGTGTAATTTTCTATTACTATAGTCCTTAGTGTTCCTGGTTCATAAAGGTGTTTATTTATTCTTCAGTTAGCATCCAATTGAGTGCAAGGTAGTAGGAGAAATATTATAATAAACATGAGAAAGTATTGGTTCTACCAATCCTGAGCTGTGTGAGTTTGAAAACATTTCATCTCTCTGAGGCTCAGTTTTCTTTTCTGTAAAATGGTAACCCCTTGCTTGCCTAAAGTCACAGGGCAAAGATGAAATAAAATAATTAATGTAAAAGTACTTGGCAAACCATAACCTACAATTCACCAAGTGAACATTTTATGCTGGTCAATCATTGAGGCAACTGTTTACCTATCGGTTAGATGATCTTTGAAGGACACTTTGAACCCTAACATTCCATACTTCTTTCAAAATTCTGGGTAGGCCCCTATAACCATAGTACACCAGAGAATATAGCTTTGCAGAAATGAGGGACTGAAAGCATATGGATGCTTGGGGACTCAGTCAGAGCTGAGTGAGGGAACGGAAATGGAGATCTATTGCTTCCTCAGGCCAAGAAAGCTCAGCTAACTGGGTTAGGAGACTTGTGTAGTTAACTGGATGTGGATGCCCACAAACGATGAAGCCATCCAAGCTGGGCAGGTGGACCCTGCCACCACGTAGGCTGAGGGAGTTGTAGGTACATGGCTGTGTTCTCTAGGTCATGCTGACAATAAATCTGTGAGGTTGCACTCAAAGCCACTGACTCTAACTCCAGCCACAGGAAAATTATCAGCCATGTTTTCAATGTTTCTTAGTTCTAAAGATTCATGATTTTTGAGACTGTATGGGTTCATCCATCGTGGTTTTATAGGCCATGACCATGTATCTTTTTCATTATCTCCATTTGGACAGAAATGGATAGTGGTTGCCTCTTTTTTGGATTTATTCCAACTCTTTCCTAAGTTTTATGTATAGTGAACCCAATTGAACATAGTATTCTTGACAGGAATAAGAGAACAGCATAATATTTTTCTCCTTTGTTTTGAATATCCATCTTGATACTATGCAAATTTTGGCCAGTATTGATCCATAGGGCTAATTCAATATTGTTAGCAGACGAATACATGTGATTTCTTTCCCCATTACTTAGAGCACCTAAATCTTATAAATCCATTTTGGTCTATTTTTTACTAGATGCACTACTCTTTAGAAATACATATGGAAATTCATTTAGTTTTATGCCCATTAAATAGGCTATTCAGATATTCCTGAATTATCTAGTAAATGTGAGGTCATCCTTACCCAAGTAGCAATTTTCCTGGAAAGCAATCAGAGCCTTCTGTGGGGTCTCAAGAATACTCTGAACGACTTTTCTAGAAGAAAGGGAGCATGTGGGTGGTCTGGGGCCCTGGACCATGGGCTGTAATCAGGAAAGTGATTTCCCTTTAAGACTCAACATTTTTCTGGAGGTATTTGGGCCATTCATCTTACATACAAAGTCCTAGGTAATCCCTTTAACCAATTTCCTTTGTTCTGAACACTTGAAAATAATTTTCAGTCTAATGTCTGTGGCATTGTCCCCATCAAAACTTCAGTTTAATATAACTGTGATGTAATAACACTTAAGGTTATGATGGCCACATCTCAACTTCTCCTCTCTGAGAGCTCTCATGATAAAGCAATATAATAACTCATTGTTGTCCTCCCTCTATCTGTCCCATTGATGGCATTTCTATTATATGTCCTTTTTTCTTTTATTCTTTTCTTCTTTTGGGAGTATATTCCAAAGAAAACTCTCAAGCTGGTGTCTAAATGTAGCCCCACTGATCAATACTGACATCTAAATTAACTCCCTCTTTCCAAGAGGTGACAGCTTCCTAATCAATATTTCCTGCTCCACCAACTTCCATCAAATGCAAATGCCTGCTCTGAACAGGATCAGCCAACTCTCTGGAGAAAGAGTGTTACATTGACAAGGAAAACAAGTCTATCTAATGAGGCATGGTGGCTGGACCCAACAGCAGGGCCGCTGTCCTTTGCAAAGGCCTTCACAGTTTCCCCAAATTCTGATGTGAGTAACCCAGACCCGTTTGGAACTTCAACCCCACTGTGTGTCATTTTGAGCATGGTGAGAGACGGGGTTTCCTCAGCCCCATAGGAGGATTCTGTTTTGGTTCTCCAATTCATACAATGCTGAATGGAAATGTGTATAGATATTCATCAAGCCTGAATTATTCATAGATGGATGTTTCACTTTCCCATTTGACAAACTGTGTTATTATCAACCCAGCTTCCCATTCTGTACAGGATGTATACTTGGAGGATGAACATTCATTTCCATTTTCATATCAGTCACACAAAAAAACATAATTAGGGTGTTGGCTCTACACTGCTAATTCTGTAGCCAAAAAAAAAAAAAAAAAAAAAAAAAGAAAGAAAGAAAAAGAAAAGAAAAGAATAAATAAGTAAAAAAACCAAGAATAAACGCTAAAGTAGATTCATTTCAAAGTCAAATAGGGATAATTTTCATCTGCTCTATTTTGTTCGGATGGCCGTCCCTGCCACTGTCCACTGACAGGAATAACAGCAGGCAGAGCAGAGGACCCCCGTGACCTCTGGAGCCTACTGAGTGAGCCGGCGGGCACCACCTGCTGCCAGGTATAAACCACACCTGCCGGCGGCGGTCCAGTGTAATGCTGCAGAGGCCAAGAAAACCCGACAGCACGCTGCTGGGCTTCTTTCTCTTTCCCCCGAAACCGCACGGGGAAATTGTAGGAGCCTGGATTTAGGAGGCCTGGGTTCAAGTTTTAGCCTGAGTTGGTCAAGAAGCCCTGGGAACACTAATCCTATGGTTCCTCAGTTTCCTCATTTGTATAGTAAACATACACCACTTCCCCCTATGGCTTGTTCACCTATAATGAGGTCACGAATGAAAAAATACTTCTCATACGAAAAGAAAGTACTATCATTACTGCCAACCGTTTCTGATCTGTATTCTCCTCACTGCTCTGGGCCTGCCAGGAGTCCCACCATGTCCCCGTGAATAACATTTCTCTCCAGAGACCCATGCGGGATCCCAGTGCAACTAAGCAGAAAACAACTTGGATGGCAGTGCTGTGATCTGGTCTTGCCTGGGGCTCAGTGGGGAATCTTTAGCACAGCATGTGTGGGCTCTGGCTGACACTGACTGGGGAGAAGAGGAGCCCAAAAGACACTTTTGCCCATTTTAATAAATAACAATGTTATCACTAAGACATAGGCATTAGCAAGGAATACCCTGACTCCAAGGGACCAAGCAATCATTAAACCAAATATGATGTTTTTGTTCCCTGGGGTACATTAATAGATCTGAATCCAAAAGCTATAGCAGTCGGTGTACATAAGAGTAAAATCTGTAGTATTTTTTAAAATGTGCCATTGGTCATGGTATGTCCCTAGAGATTCCTAGAGACCTGGGTATATCCTTAGAAAAATGGCTAGTATCCTATCTCACATAGATAAGAATCCTTTTTCCTTTTTAAAATTGACTTTAATGGGGTAAGAAAATGTTATCAGAACCACACGGAAAAGAATGATGGCAACTGCTACCACGTATTGGCTATCAGCTATGTGACAGGTACTGTACAGGGCACACAGGGGCCCCAAATTAATCAACCGAGCTCTAAAGTCTCCATATACTTATTGATAAAGGATTTGTATTTCCCATGGACTGTATGCCAGGATTGGGGATGCAAAGGAAGAGAAAAACCTCCAGTGACTGAGAACAGCTCAGGAATGCTCTCCTTAGATTGATATGAACGAGGAATTATGCATTTCGTGTTTGGGACACTGGATCCTCAGACCTGTTTGTCAGATCCAATAGATGGCAGCCCAGCTTCCAGAAACTAATACAACCACTCCTTAACTCATCTATTTCTGAGGTCGGTTACCCCTGTGGCTCTGTACGCCTCCCCCCAGACCAGGAGCAGGCCAGCCCTGTTGGGAAGCCCTGTGGGAAGCCTGAGTGGAAGGGGGAGGAGCCAGGCTCACCTGCTTGACCTCGGCCTGGAGGTGCCGCAGTTGGAGGCACTGCTCGAGCCGCTTATGCGTCTGCTCAGCGTTGAGCTCCAGCTCATGCTGCTTCTCGTGGAGGAACTCCAGTAGCTCTTGCACCTGAGCTGCCAGATCAATGTCTTTCTCACAGATCAACTCAATTCCTGATTTAAAAGATAAACAATGAAAAACCAGGTGGTACCATAGAGACTACATTTCATTCAACAGTCATATGAAAGCTGGAGTTCAGAAACAGCCATTATCAGCCCCCTCCCGACTACTAATCATCCCTCTGTGCAAGTGGACAGGCTGCCATAACGGGCTTGGTTTGGGATGCTCCCACGTGGCCTCTCTTTTGGGTTAACTGGTGCTTTGCCTGGGACTAACTCTTCAACAGGTGGTCGGCTCCTTATATCGACTGGTGGTGTAGGGAGCTGGTTCTCTGGAAGTTTATCCCCAGCAAAGACAGCACCCAGCAGTCTCTTGAGGGGGGATTTGCAAACACCTAGAATATTCACAAGCCAGCCTCTGGATCATAAATATAAAATAAAGCCAAAAAGACCCTATCCCAGGCACTTCTGCCCAAGGCACATTCTTGTTAGCTGGTCAGCTGGGAAGCCCACCAAACTCAGTGGATGGAAGCCTGAAAAAGAAATCTACATTGGGAGACATCCCCATTGCTCTGACTCCCACCGAGTACACCTGGAGGATATGGTCGGGGTAGTACAGGGGACGGCTGAACACTCGAAAGGAAATGCATTTCTATAGAGGCAAAAATAGTGTTTTATATAATGACAATATGGGAGAGTGGGAAAGAAATTTTCTGGTGTTATATGGTAATAATTTCAGTATCTCCTCATGTTTATTTTTTTCTGTCAGTTTCATAATTCCCAGTCCTTGCTCCTGAAATATCCACAGGAGACAGAAAAGAACAGCCTGTCCTTTTGGCAGCCAGCTCCCTCCACTTACTATTTTCAATCACCGGGAGGATGAGGTAGAGCCTCTCCTTGATTGAAATAAAAAAACAAAAAGCAATACAACATTTCTATGTCTGCAGTGCTCAGCTAAATGGGGTGACCCTTGACCCCATGTTTACCTTCTGAAAATTGAATTAAAATCCATCTGCAGAAGTAGATGCTCTTCCCTGCTTCCAGCCACCCAGTGGGGTTTTTCCAGCTCGTTTTCATTCTGCATGCGTCTCTGACATTTAGGATGCTGGGCGTGGGCAAAGTGTCTTTCTACAGGAAGCTCCTGGCTTCCCCCTGCCACACTGCAGGTAAATAGGTCTCTACACCTCGTAACGCATCATAGGAGTCATCCACCTGCTTAGCACATCATCCAGAAGAGGCTGGCAGCCTGCCCTTCATTCTCATCTACCTTACATGAATTGTTTTCTGAGATGAACACAGGAACTGGAATGAGTGAGGACAATGCCAGGACATCTCTGCGCCCCTCAGTAGCGCATCGTGTGGTGGATAGAGAATGGGAAAACAGGAAGGCTTACTTCAGCTGCACCCCAAAGAATAGAAACTCACCGCTCTCTCCAGCACATTGAAATGGGTCCCAGTTAAAACCCAGCAATTGGCACATATCCATCAACAGCAAATAGTTTTCTTGTGCTGACATTACTCCCAATCAGAGGCTTAATTAGCCTCCCCAGGGGCTCTCAGAAATGCCACAAGAATGTTTGTTCTTTGTATCAAGTATTGAAATGTTTCCTATATAATAAAAGCCTAATATGCAAATCCACTGAACAGCAGAACTGGGGGATGACCAGTTGCTATGATGTGCACTGACCACCAGGGAGCAGATGCTCAATGCAGGAGCTGCTCCCAGCTCTAGGCCCCAGGCCAGCCAACGTGGGTGCCAGTGCCCCTCCCCCCCCCCCCCCATTGCCCTGCTGGTCACCCCATAGATTGGCCCTGATCACCAGCCAGGCCTAGGGATCGACCCATGTATGAATTTCGTGTATTGGGCCTAGTTTGTGATAAAATACTTTATCAGTCTCCTTATAGAATGTTGTATTGAAGTTTCTGATGTGCTCCCACAATGCCCTGTTCTCATCTCTCCATCAGAACACTTGCATTGAGGCTTGATCCTTATTTACTTGTCCATGCTCTTGCAGAAGTGCAGGCTCTTTGATACTAGGTCCAAGTCTGTCTTATGCCTCTCTGCATCTTCAGGACCTAGCCTAGTGCTTGACTCGTAACACCCAATAAATACCTCTTTAGGGAGGAACTCGGGCCATGTGCTGTGGTGGAAAGTACCTGAGAGCTTTGGGGAAGGACAGATGTAAGTTTGAATCCACGGGCTGTAACCTACCCATGGTATCTAATCTCCATATCCTCTCTGAGCCTGGGTAAAGTGGGAATCCCAAGAAAGACTACTGGGTGTGTTGTGAGGACTCAGAGATAAAGTACCAGTATAAACAGTGCTTGGTTTTAGTAGTCTAAAAATTACCCATTTCCCCACTTTTTCCTTTCCCTTAGGGAAATTATAACACACTCACTATTGATTACTGATGGGACTGTGAAATGGTTTGTATAAAATGTAAACATAAAATCTTACCATTGCTATTTATGTATTTGCTTAAAGAATATAATTAGAAACTATGGTAGTGTGGATGCTTTTAGACCAGTGCTCTCAACCTAGGCTCATACTAGATTCATCTGGTGAAATTTCAAAAAAATCACTATCCCATGCCCACACCCCAGACCAAGAACACCGGAATCGGTAAATCTTAAAGCTCCCAAGTGAGTCCAACATGCAAACAAGATTGGGAACCACTGGATCGGATCGGATGTACAATGGCCCTTCTGTTACATGCAGTTACTAGACCGTTTGGCATTGTGCTTATTTATCAAGGCCACTGTTCATAATAAACTCTCACTTTGCTTTCCTTTGCTGCCAGGTTGGGGGGGGCACCACTTTAATTTCCCCAAGGAGAAGCATCTGTGGTCTAGGGTAAGCGTTGGGGATTCCTGGCTATACTGCCCATTCTTGTAATAGGCGTTTTGACTGTGTTCTTTATATATCTGCCTTGGATAGAGAACATGTTTTTTTTTTTGTTTGTTTGTTTGTTTTTTTTTTGTTTGTTTTTTTTTTTCCTTTTTTCTTCTCCCTTTTCCACTTCTCTTTCCACATCACTGCCTCAGTATTACACTCAGTCCAGAAATTACAGTGCTTTAATCAGGTTTTTAGATCAGTCTTATTGACCTTGGCTCTGCATTGAAATCACCTGGGAAGTTTTTAAAAATCTGGACCCATTCCAGCCTAATTAAGTAAGAATCCCTGAGGGGAGGGGCCCAGACCTTGATATTTTAAAGGAGTTCCCCATGGGATTCTAAATATGCAGTCAAGTCTCGAGAACCCTTGTTTTACATCAGGTTCTCTTCTGCCCTCCTCTCAGACCTGCCCCCCAAGGTCCACATTCCCATCAACCCCAGAGTAGCTTCCATTTTGGAAAAACACAGGCCTTTCCTTCCTTTTACAACATAAGTAACATTATTGGTGGCCTGTTATTTTTACCTCCATCTATTTCACTCACGATGATGTTCAACCTGATGATTCAGCCAGTGTTATTACTGAGAACTTGCTGAGGACAGGACACAACCCTCTGCCTTCACTATAGCTGCTGCAGAAGTTACAGGAACACAAGTGACCCCAACCAAATGCACTGTGTGCTGGAATGCTAGAGTAACACAGGATCCTCATCAAGCTCTGCGAACCCCTGGCCATGTTCAGGAATTATCTCACTGCATCCTCACAGTGACTCTCTCTCGGGTTGTTATCCTCATGATCCGTATTTTCCAGAGAACGGCGAGACTTAGAAAGAGTCACATGCTCAAGGACACCCAGGGAGTAGGGGTGGGGGTGGGATGCCAAGCCTCTCCTCACTGCACCTTAACCTCTACGCTTATGGAGAAGAGTGACCCCAAAAAATCTTAATTTATTTTCAAATACTGTGGTTGGAGTACATTTTAAGCATCACTGCCACAGACTCCAGAGATGTTTTCACTTCAAAGCCTTGCATAAGGAGAGAACTTGAAGCTGTGATTCAACCACAAAAGGAACGTTATCCACAGGGCACATGGTATTTGTCTTATTTGTAAGGTCAGTGTAACAGTCGCATGGCCAGGTTACATTGGACAAAATACCTGTGGCATAACCAATGGTGATGATGGAGCTGCAGCATGGAAAATGAGACCTTTAGGAATCAAGGTCCACCTGCTACACTAGACAGAAGAAGAAAGTAAGCTCTACAGAGGGGGAAAAAGGCACTTCCAACTTTTGATGGAGGAACAGGACCCTGAATTCAGCCAGCATCTCCCTCCCCCTTGACTCTTAGCAGCAAACACCTCCCACTTGGGACTCAAACAGACACCACTAATGTGAGGAGAGCACAGGAGCAAGTGAGGAGAGTGCTCCTGCTCTGTCTTCTTTTCCCAAGGCTGATGCCGATTTAAGCAAAGGCTTCTGTTTTGATTAGAGTTGTTGGCACCCAGGGGGATTAAGTAGAACTGGCTCAATGTTATAAATTTCACACCTGAAAATAAGTGTATGGAAATTCTCTACTTCCATTTTCTCCTACAAAACCAAAGTATAAGCCCTTACTTTAGCATGAAGGGCTAAATATCAACCAAATGATTAATTTTGCTTATTATCCTTTTTTCCCCCTAACATAACAGTTTATTTTATCTTTAATTTAAACATAGTTCATTCGATGTACATCATACATGCCCACACCCCTTATTGCCTCAGTCCTGAGTCTCTCAAGTCCTACATCCTTTGGCCTCCTGGGTCCGGCTGGGTCCATCCCAACCTCCCTCTCCCCACTCCCAGCTCTGACATGACTCTGCCCTCCTGTCCCCCAGCCAGAGAGGAGATAGCTGCCTCCTCCGCAGAACCAGGCTTTCTGCAGCAGAGTGAGTGTCCCTGAAACCCCTGGATTCGTTCCCCAGGAAGCCTCTTGGGCTATGCCAGACTGAGAAGTTAGATGCGGCAGGAGCAGGGGAACAGCCAGTCCCAGCAGAGAGGCCTGAGCAGGCCAATGCAGCCTCTCTTGACAAAACTCATTTCTAGAACAGGATCCTGTGGGGGTGGGAAGCCCATCTGCCTGGGGTGTTTTCACCCACACAGCCCTCATGGTTAAGGTGGCCGCCAAGTACAACTACCCCTCCCCCCACACACACACACATCTTAAGCAGTCTTCAGGGACTGCCAGCTCCCAGCAGATTTTCCTGTTACCATGGATACCTGGCTCTTGGCACAGAAGTGGGCTTCTCAAGGTCATGCCAGAACCCTGGTCCTAAGTGCCACAGGTTTTCAGGCAGACAAGCTCCCTCCTGCCAGACACATCAATACTGAGGGATGAAGACTGAACATCCCTGAAGGGCATCTCTCCCCGGGCCTCTCTCCTAGGCACTGTGTCTGCATTCTCTCACGCTTCTTAGGCTCAGCTGGATAGCCAGCTATTGTGAACATCATGAGGGCAAGCCATAGGGTGAAACCCTGAGTCCAGAGGAAGGATCACAGTTTCCCCCATTCCCTGATAAGGCCTTTAAAAAGGTACAGGCTTCTCAAACTGTCATGTGCACATGATTTACCTGGAGATTTTGTTAACAGGTAGATCCAGATTCCTAAGTCTGGGATAAGGCCTGGAATTCAGCATTTCTAATCAGCACTTAACAATGCCAACAGCTGGTCCAGAACCCACACTATGAGAATCAAGAACCTAAACTGACGATACATCAGAATTATCTGGAGGGCTTTGAAATGCAGATTGGTAGGCCCAACCCCAAGAGTTTCTGATGTGATAGGTCCTAGGGATGGGCCTTTAAACTTGCATTTTATGAAAATATATTTTTTAATTGTTATCTATCTATCTATCTATCTAGAGAGAGAGAGAGAGAGAGAGAGAGAGAGAGAGAGGAAGAGAGAGAAACGTCAAAGTTAGAGTGCAACATCAATTGGCTGCCTTCTACACACCCCCCAGTGAGGATGGAGCCTGAACCTGGGCATGTGCCCTGACAGGGAATCAAACCAGCAACCTTTCAGTGCATGGGACGATGCCCAACCAACTGAGTCCACCAGCCTAAACTTGCATTGCTAACAAATCCTTGGATGCTGCTGGTCTGGGAGCCACATTTGGGGGTCTCCTGGGCATTCATTTCATAGATATCAGCTGTTGTGATTTAACTATTGCATGAAAAGCAGTGGTCCCATCTGAAGAGCTTTTGCTGATGCCCAAGGCCCATTCAGAGGTTGTTAAATCAGAGCAGCTCGGGCGTGGGGCCTGGGCATTGTCAAAACAGTCAGCAGATAGACTACAATGTGGATGACCCTTCTTGGGGCTGTATGATGAGGAGGCACAGTCTGCACACCTCTAAACAGACCTGTTCACAACACAAAGGAAAATTCAAGAAAATGTCCTGCTGACCAAAGCGAGTAGAATTTACTAGGTGTCTCTCCTCTGGTTAGAACTGAAGTTCCTTTGAATGCTGGTATGTACTCCTTCAAGTCCTTAAAAGAAACACAGTACCCTAAAGTTAAGTTTGATTGTTAAGATCCACCTAACAATCTGATGCTTGTAAATATTCTTCATGATCAACAAGGATATGGACCAACAGTATTTTAAAGAGTTGGTGAGCTGAGCCTGTGTCTGAGCCAACAAGGGTGAAAGGGTGAGGGGGAGGAGGGCAATGGGTGGGTTTGGGTGTACAGGCCTGGGTTCTAGCACTCCAATGGCACGTGCTCACACGAGTGGTTTCTTTTTCTAGGCTCGTTGAACTAGGGACTGTGATGGTTCCCTCTGTTCTAACAACAAAGGCTGGTCTGGAGGTGTAGCAGTCAGATTGCATGCATTTCTGGGGTAGTGAATAAATCCCGAGCAGAAAAAGAAGTTAAATCTGGGTAACTCAACCATGTTTTTTTTGAGGAGTTATAAAATTATACAACCTTGCCATAAATTTTTATCAGCACTTCTTACACTCATACACAGACCAGACATAAAACACAGGACTCTGAGAAGCATGGACTGGAGACAAGGAGCCAGCCCTGGGGGTGGCGGACAGGACACGAGAGAGTGTGTGTGTGTGGAGTTATAGGGGGTGGAATAGCAGATGTCTGCACATTTGAATAGATTCCCAGAGAGGGATGATTGCTTTTGGAGCCCACCTGGTTTGTTTTTTCAGGCCACCATTTTTTATTTATTTTTTTAAATCTGTGCTAATTTCTATCACTGGTTTTTTCCCCCCATTCTCTCCACAACATCCAGAGAGCCTGGTCCTAGTCCCATCTTTATCACAGCCTAACCGGCCAGCCCCGCACAAGTTATTTCAGCTCTCATGCTCATTTTTTTTCTCCTCTAAAATGGGGGCAACAATCGTTCCTTATACCCGTAGGAATGAAATGAATGGACAGAGTGAAAAGGCACATTGGAGTCAGCTGGTGTTCTTGTTTTCACCACCTCCCAGCCAGGAGAACAAGGCTGGGACAGGTTGCCTACCTGAGGCCTGGACCTCCATGATGTACTGGTGCAGGTCCTGGCCCTGCTGGATGACCTCGAAGGTCATGTTGTTCATGGCCAGCTTCCGCTCTGTGTGGCGCTGCAGCCGCTGCTCTGCCAGCGTCAGGTCCTCCGTGTTGAAGTCGTTCATCTGCCGGAGCAAGTCCTCGTTCCAGGCATCGAGCTCTGCCGTCACCTGTAAGGAAACAACCCTCAGTCCAGGCTCGCTGGTCCACGAGGCTGCTGAGCTCATGGATCCCAAGCCTTGTTAACAATCTGACTCTCAGATCAGTCTCGGCTTTGCATCTCTTTGACTCTTAGACTATATTTCAGCAACATGGCCACACGCTCATGCATGCATGCCTTTGAATGTGTGTTGCATGTGTTGTGACAGCAGTGGAATAGCAGGAGACGTTAATAGGATGAATTGTAGTTTATAAAGTGTTTAGTACTCCATCCAGTTTGAGTGCAATGCCCTGGAGAAGAGGACGCCGCTCCCTCAGTAAGATGGAATGCCATGCGGAGTTCACCCTGTTCACAAGGGGCAGACCCGAGGCTGGAGCTCAGAGCTTCTACTGACTGCAAAGACTTTTTCCACCACACCGCACAACTACTCTAACACATTTCATTGTCGGGGAGTCCTCAGAACTTAAGGATTACATCTAGCTCTTTTCAAGAAATAGAAACTGAGGGCTGGAGAAGCCCAGTAAGTGGCCTGAGGCTACACAGTCAATGAGAGCTGGTGTCCATCTAAACCGGGGTCTTTTGTGTGGGTTCTCTCCCTCTATTACAAAGGCAGACACCTGGAGATGGTGACTGTACAAGGAGAAATGTGTAGTCCAGCTACAGAATCCAAGCAGATTATACTCTACTGAAAGGCATTGATGAAAAATAAACACCGACGCATGCAACGAATGGAAACTTTGCTTGACACCTCTGCTCATGTGGCTTCCCCTCACCTTCTCTCCAACAGATGACTGCCCAGAGTCCAAATCCTAACTTCCTTTGCAAATGCGACCATCATTTCCGGAGCGGGAGCTCAGATGTACCGAACTGGGTGATAGTTCCACCGGGCATGTGAAGCAGGTAGAAACTTTTCTAACATGGTTTCCAGGTCTGCTTTCTTGTGCTGCCTCCTCAGCAGCCCCAGGAAGGCAATAGCATAGGGACTGTCAACCAGTTCCCAGAAGAGAAAGTGAAAGCCTCATCCTGGATGGAGCAGCCATAGTCTGGCCCAGGCAGTGCAAGCACACCCCCAGAGCCCGGCTTAGTGGTTTTCACAACGCTGGCCTCACGGCAGCTGGCACTCAGCATACCCTGCCATCACCAAGCTCTGCAGCTTCAGTAACATGGGGACAAAGGGAAGGAGAAGCCCAGCTGGAGGAGCGGGAGGTGATGTTCTTCCCTCTGTGGGGGGGCCATGCGGCACTGGTTTCCATTCTTGGTCTCACAGTAAGACCTTTCTTCATTGGGAATGTTCCACTGTCTTTGCCGTAGAGGTGGGGGAACAGTAAAAATACCACCTCATGCCCCCACATCTTTTCAGGTCAACGAAGGGATCTATTGGGCTCAGTAGGCAAACCTCGTCTCTGCTTATCGTGGGAAGCTTGAGGGTCAGGTTGCCAAGCAAAACAGGTTTTTGTTGTATTCATCTTTGAAAAGTACTTCCCTCTCTAACTAGAGAAAGAAATTAAATTGAGAAGACAGATAAATGACATAACTTATGAGATGATTTATAAATGAGTAGGCTTACATAGACTTGTGTTTTTCTTCTTGTATGTAAAAAGTTAAAATATAACATATACAATAAAATACACATATAGGGTGGGGCTAAAGTAGGTCTACAGTTGCTCACAAGGAAAATAATACAATAATTAATAATAATACAAGATTAAATCTGTTTTGTGTACTTTTGCCCCACCCTATATTTTAAGCTTTAATTCAATGCTATGCCATCACTAAAGAAAATATGAATCTTTCCATCACTCCAAGGAGTCCACTTGTGCTCCCTTCCTGTCAGTTCCTGCCACACCTTCTCCCACTCTGGTACTGCTTTCTGATTTATATCATAGATGTAGCTTAGCCTATTCTTGAATTTCAAATGAAATCACAGTATATACTCTTTTAGGTCTGGCTTCCTGTGTCCAACACATTGTATTTTAGATGCATCCAGGTTGTGTGTATCGGTAGTCCATTCCTCGTTACTGCTGGCCATTGTACAGATGTGCCACAATTTGTTTAACAAGTCTCTGGCTGATGGATTTTTGGGTTATTTCCTGTGTTTAGCTATTATGAATCAGGGTGATGTGAAAGCTCTTACACAAATGCCTCTATGGACATAGATTTTACTTCCTCTTAGGGTTACCTAGGAGTGCAATTGTAGAATCATAGGGTAGGTCTTTGCTGAACATTCCCAGTGGGCATGTATGAACGTTCCAATTGCTCTACATCCTCACCATCACTCGATATTATGAATCTATTTAAATGTAGGAGTGTGTGAAGTGCTATCTCATGGGTTTAGGATGACTAATGATGGTGAGCACATTTTCATATGCTATTGGCCATTTGTATCTACCTTTTAAAAGTGTTTTTATAGTCTTTTGCCCACTTTTCAAAAACTAGGATAATTATGTTTTGATTATAGATTTGTGAGATTTTAATAGATGTTGTATATTAGCCTTTTATCAGATAATATATTGAAAATAGCCCAAATAAAATGTTTAGTCCATTTCTTTGCCTACAAATTAAGAGAAATTAGAATAAAACTAAGACAACATGCATGAAAGGAAGAGCCTGCCTTCCTTTCCCATTTTGACTTCTGTTTTGTTTCCATAAAACGGAGTCTATGACAGGTCTGTGTGCTGTAGGACGATCCCAGAGGGATCCCAGGGTCAGGATCTGTGGAGGGAAAGGTCGCGGTCCCGGGGAGGAGCAGAGCAAGACGGAGGAGTTTGTTGGGACAGAGAGGCTCAGAGGTCTGGTATCTTGAGAATCTGCATCTAAACCAAATGTGAAATATGTCCACATTTTATATCTGCTGTTTCTATATTCTTTTCCTCCCCTTCCCTATCTTCCTCCACCCTCACAACCTGACACCAATAAATAGAGGGCTCGAATCTGTTACGAGGCCTGAAGACTATGAATTCCAAGGAACTACTCAGCAGAACGCCTGACTCCTAAGCTGCCCTTCCTGTATTTACATGCTCTTTACTCTGTGTCTGACTCTCTCTTCCCATTCCACGCATACACTGATGTCCAGAGCCTGGTAATGGTCTGATTTGTGTAATTCTTTTTCCTGGTTGACTTGTGTATTTCTAATGTTTACTGGAGCTTAAATCAGTCTCTTTTTGATAGGGTGTCCCCAAAAATGTATACACACATGTGAGCTAATAGCTCAATTGATGTTTCTTTCTTTTCAGATTTAACCGATTGGAATTCATAATTATTCAAAGTGTGTATACATTTTGGGAGATACCCTGTATTTCCTATTTGCTCAAGGAATGTTCTTTCATGGAGTTCCTCCTTTCTACTTTCTTTTTGGGGTATAAGGCTGGCATATAACAGGCGCTCATTTATTTTTTTAAGAGACAAATTTGTTTTCAACCCTGATGCTTACTACTACTAGCTTTCCAGCCTCATCTCATGCACTTGCTACATGAACTGATCAGTGAGCTGCTTTCCTCACTGACCCTGAGAGTCAGCTCTGCCCTCTCCAGTCTCCCTCCCTGGTCCAGTGGCTTTGAAATGCCCCTCCTCTCAGTCTGTTCAAGTTCTCACTGCCTTCAAAGTAACCTCTCTGGCATGAAATGACCCCTAGACCAGATGTTTATCCCTGGCTTATCTCATCACATGGGGCAGAAGTTAGTTTGCCAATACAGAGATAAGACTCTGCAAAGAAAAACTGGCACTGGGAATGAATTCAGTGACTTAACTCCATTTAGAAAAGAAGCCTGGAAGAATCTGTTCAGGGCAGAAACTAGGGCCTGAACCAAATAAATGAAAGAACACAAGGTGCCCACAGGGAATTCAGCTTTTAATCGACCTATTTTGCTTTCTCCTTCCACTCAATTAACTCCTTCTCCGCTCTTGGCCCACTCACTCTTGGCTCCAGCGGCCGCTCTCTCCCTGGCTCCCCTGAATTAATTGGCATGTTAGGGTACAATGACCTCTTTGAGAGATACATTGGCAACATTTCTATTCTAACAACTGTCTACTCTAGAGCCATGGCCATAAGGGAAATCAGAGAAGGAACTAAACAGAAATTTGTTTATAAAGGGTAAGAGGCAGTGGGAAATGGGAAGGCTCACACCAAAACGAAGCCCAAGGCTTTCCTGCCAGACAAGATTCACTGAACCCAGCATTCTGCTGCCAAAAATTAACCCCAGGGACTTGGCTTAGCAGCTGTCTTGGGCTCTGGTCTCAGGAAGCCCTCTCCATTGGTTCCTCTCATTTTCTGGGTCTTTCCCAGTATTTCTCTGTAGAGAACACTTTAGCGTCTCCTGTCCCAATGTTTTATTCTATATCTGCCTGTATCAAAACCCACCTGCCCCTTCTTCCCACTTCCTGTGGTCTATTCCCAGCAACTCAGCTCTTTGTTATCACGTGCAAAGTTGGAAATCTCACTATGTAGTCTTTTTCTTCAGCTCATGATAATGATCACAATGGAAAAAGAAATTCTACCTTGTGCCTGTATTCCAGTGTAGACAGTGTGTTAAGAATTTGACTAACTTTCTTTTATTAAATCCTCATAGCAACTCTGGCAGGAAACTAAGACACAGAGAAGTCAGTTCATTTTCCCCATGGTCACAGAGCTGAGCATCCAACTACATACAAAGTCCAGTGCTCTTGACCATGGTGTGATATCAATAAGGCTGGTCCAAGAACTGATTGTGAGGATAGCTTTCTTTTCATTATTCTCATTTCGGAAAAGTGCCCATTTAATCATTCTCCTGTTTTCTTCTTAAAAGAAAAACAACCTTCATGATAACTCCATTTTCTTTATTTCACATGGATCTTTTAAATTAATCATGTGTTCCTTGAATAGATCAATAAATTGTGTTTGTGGCCATTTATAAATGCCAGGAATAATTTACCCTTGCAAGAAAACACACAGCCTTCCCCTGTAGGATATTTTTGTTTAAGAGTTTGGTTATGGCCGGGACTGGTTTGGCTCAATGGATAGAGCGTCGGCTTGGG